TAGGGCCTCAAGATTTAATCAAAACCTTCCAGATTTGCCAACTGGGTATCAGTGACTCTCCTGAGCCTCTTTCCTGCCTATTGCCTGGGAACCTTTACACTGTTCATGTGAAGTCCATACTCCTCTGTGAGTCACCTGGAAGTGACTGTTCTGAGTGTTGCCAGACAGAGGTAGCCCGTTCTTCTCTCTCCTCTCAAACACCTGTAAATACCTTGAAGCCAAAAAACTATCAACCTGTAACCAAATAGAAACACATTCAGGGAAAAGTATTCAGTTGCCAACAGCTCTGCACTGTGCATGCACAGTGGAAACACAGATGCTCACCATACTGCAGCAACCCCTTGTGAAGGACTGACCCCCACCCCACTACCTCAGGTGCATACAGATGCCAGGCAAAACCCCAGGTATACATGGACCTGCTTGACATGCAGGCAGAGCAATCAGACCTAAGCCTGGCCGTCAACATTCCACGGTGGGCCTAACTAAAAGTCTCCACCTCTCCCCAGCCTTAAAGGCCTTTCCCATAACCTCTGTCTCCTTGCTCAGTCGCCATAAAAGCCCATCTCCAACCCCACCTCCTTACACAAACTCAGATTCCATAGGAAGCTTGCTGCCCCTTGCTGTTCTTCAATAAACAGTCCTAGCCTATTGAGAATCAAGTCTGGCCTATTCCTTTTCCTCTCCTCCATTTTACTAACACCTAGGAAGTAATGTTAGTGGATGATCAAGGCCGCCCAGCCATGTGAACATCATATTCATTCTCTGTGTCCCCATGTCCTGAGTTGTGAAGTTTATCCCTGGCTTGCTTTGGGATATGCTGTCCATCCCCCAAATTCTCTATTCAATTCTAAGCAAGTGGCTATTTAACCAATCCAATGAAATGTTTTGTAATTGTATTTTTCACTTCTAGAATTCCACTTTGGTTCCTTTTTATAGTTTCCAGTATCCGTCTTGCTTTTACTGACAAAACATGTTAATCACAAAGTACACGCTTAGCCAGCTGCTGGTGGTACACACCTATGATGCTGACTACTCAGGAGGCTGAGATCTGGTGGACGATGATTCTGGAACAGCCCAGGCAAAAAAGCTGGAGAGACTACCTCTCCAAAATCACCAGCAGTAAACAGGGCTGGAAGCACTTCAAGGGATAGACCGCTATCTGGGAAGTCCCATGACTTGATTTCAAACCCCAGAACGGTCCAAAAACAACAATAATAACAAAAACCCAGCATGTCTGTTGACTCTCTTCTCTGGATCTCCCCAGACCAGTTTGTCTACTTGGGTTTAGCCAAATGCTCCAGTTGCCCTTTGTGTGGTATTCTACACCTTAATAATCAAGGGGTTCACTTAAGATCTCAGATCTTAGGTGGTATTTCCTCTGTCCTCCAGCAAGTAGGGGTGGAAGCTGCCCCCTGCACCCCCCACACCCCCTGCCATCATGAGAGAGTCCACGGAGCCGCAGCCAGGCTCTAGCCCTCACCATGCCCGGCCTACAGGTGGTTCACCCAACTCCTACAAGCCCGGGTTTGAGCCTCTCTATCTGCTTCTGGTTGACAAATGGGAGAAAAGTGACTGACACACACAGCCCGGTTCATCTCCTGGAATTCATCACCTTTGAGCTTGACTCCCCTGTCCTCCTCCTCCTGTAGGCTACAGGGCAGCCGAGTCGTCTCAGCGGGTCACTGAGCGTGGCCCTTGGGGAGGTGGGCCTCGGCGCGTCGGGCCTCGGCGGGGTGGGCCTCCTCAGGGCTGCTCGGCGGGGTGGGCCTCCTCAGGGCTCGGCGGGGTGGGCCTCCTCAGGGCTCGGCGGGGTGGGCCTCAGCGGGGTGGGTCTCCTCAGGGCTCGGCGGGGTGGGCCTCCTCAGGGCCGCTCGGCGGGGTGGGCCTCCTCAGGGCTCGGCGGGGTGGGCCTCCTCAGGGCCGCTCGGCGGGGTGGGCCTCCTCAGGGCCGCTCGGCGGGGTGGGCCTCCTCAGGGCCGCTCGGCGGGGTGGGCCTCCTCAGGGCCGCTCGGCGGGGTGGGCCTCCTCAGGGCTCGGCGGGGTGGGCCTCCTCAGGGCTCGGCGGGGTGGGTCTCCTCAGGGCTGCTCGGCGGGGTGGATCTCCTCAGGGCTGCTCGGCTGGGTGGGCCTCCTCAGGGCTGCTCGGCGGGGTGGGTCTCCTCAGGGCTCGGCGGGGTGGATCTCCTCAGGGCTGCTCGGCTGGGTGGGCCTCCTCAGGGCTGCTCGGCGGGGTGGGCCTCCTCAGGGCTCGGCGGGGTGGGCCTCCTCAGGGCCGCTCGGCGGGGTGGGCCTCCTCAGGGCTCGGCGGGGTGGGCCTCCTCAGGGCTCGGCGGGGTGGGCCTCCTCAGGGCTGCTCGGCGGGGTGGGTCTCCTCAGGGCTCGGCGGGGTGGGCCTCCTCAGGGCTCGGCGGGGTGGGCCTCCTCAGGGCTCGGCGGGGTGGGTCTCCTCAGGGCTCGGCGGGGTGGGTCTCCTCAGGGCTCGGCGGGGTGGGCCTCCTCAGGGCTCGGCGGGGTGGGCCTCCTCAGGGCTCGGCGGGGTGGGTCTCCTCAGGGCTCGGCGGGGTGGGTCTCCTCAGGGCTCGGCGGGGTGGGTCTCCTCAGGCCTCCTCGGCGCGGCTCGCGCCTCCTCGCGGACCCACACCCTGCACCCGTCGACTGTGCGCCTCGGGAGGTGCGGGCTCGACCCGCCGCGGGCCCCGCAGGTCCAGCGGGGCGCCCGGCCCCGGGCAGGCGCGGCGGTCAGGGCCGTGCGGGGCCGCGGCCTCGCGCCCGGGGACGCCTGCGGGGCTCCCGCCCTCCTCGGCCGCCGGGCCACGGCCTCGCGCCGACCGCACCGCTCCCGGGAGGCTGGCGCGCAGGCCACGGGAACGCCTGCCGTCCGCGCTGTGCACGGTGGCCGTCCCGCCCGGGCTGGTCCTCCCGCACCAAGACGCCTGCGCGTCCTCAAGACCCGCTCGCTTCAGCGGACAACGTCGGGCAGACGAGACAGAGTGCGCACGCGCGTCGCGCCGCCTGCGGGCTTCCTACAGCAGGGTTTCCATGGCGACCGTGAGGGCCGCGTGGCCTCCATTGTTGGTTGGTGCGTGGCCACGCCCACGAGGCGGGGCTGGGGAACCAGGGGTGGGGCCTCAGGCGGCCGGGGGCGGGGCCGGGGCGGGGCGGAGCCGGGGTCGCAGCGGGCCAGGCAGCCCCTCCCGCGCCCCGGCTCCCCGCGCCCCGGCTCCCCGCGCCCTCCCTTGAAGACCCCGTAAGAGGCCCGAGGGTCCCCTAGCCTTTTTCGGAGACTCGGAGAGAGCCTCGGTAGAGCCCCGCGGCTGGCGAGCTCGCGGACAGGGCCAAGCGTCCTCCCCGGCCGGGGCCGCCTTCGTGCCGACCGGGGGCCGCTGCCGCGGGGCCGGCGCGCGGAGCCGCGAGCGGTGAGCACTGCGGGCGGAGCCCCGAGCCGCGAGCACTGCGGGCGGAGCCCCGAGCCGCGAGCACTGCGGGAGGAGCCGTGAACAGTGAGCACTGCGGGCGGAGCCGCAAGCGGTGAGCACTGCCCCAGGCCGGCATCACTCAGCCCCTAGCCGACGCCTGGGGATGACGGGGCGGCTGGCTGGCACCCTGGCTCCGGTCATCCCCGGCATCCCGTCATCCCGTCATCCCGTCATCCCCGGCATCCCGTCATCCCCGGCATCCCGTCATCCCAGCATCCCGTCATCCTGGCATCCCCGGCATCCCGGCATCCCCGGCATCCCGTCATCCCGTCATCCCGTCATCCCGTCATCCCCGGCATCCCCGGCATCCCGTCATCCCGTCATCCCGTCATCCCGGCATCCCGGCATCCCGGCATCCCGTCATCCCCGTCATCCCGTCATCCCCGCCATCCGCCATCCCCGGCATCCCGCCATCCGCCATCCCCGCCGGCATCCTGTTCATCACGGCATCCGCCATCCCTGGCATCCCGTCATCCCCGTCATCCGCCATCCCCGCCGGCATCCCGTCATCCCGTCATCCCGGCATCCCGGCATCCCGGCATCCCGTCATCCGCCATCCCCGTCACCCGCCATCCCCGGCATCCCGCCATCCGCCATCCCCGCCGGCATCCTGTTCATCACGGCATCCCGTCATCCCCGTCATCCCGTCATCCCGTCATCCCGTCATCCCCGTCATCCCGTCATCCCCGTCATCCCGTCATCCCCAGCATCCCGTCATCCCCGGCATCCCGTCATCCCCGTCATCCCGTCATCCCCGTCATCCCGTCATCCCCAGCATCCCGTCATCCCCGGCATCCCGTCATCCCCGGCATCCCGGCATCCCCGGCATCCCGGCATCCCGTCATCCCGGCATCCCGTCATCCCCGGCATCCCCGTCATCCCCGGCATCCAGTCATCCCGTCATCCCCGGCATCCTGTCATCCCGTCATCCCTGGCATCCCTGGCATCCCCGTCATCCCAGTCATCCCGTCATCCCGGCATCCCGTCATCCCCGGCATCCCCGTCATCCCCGGCATCCAGTCATCCCGTCATCTCCGTCATCCCGGCATCCCGTCATCCCCGGCATCCCGGCATCCCAGCATCCAGTCATCCCTGTTGTCCTGGTCATCCCCTCATCCCGTCATCGTGTGGAATGCTTAGACCGTGTTTACCCACATTCCTTCATTTTGAATGCAGTCGGTTCTGTTGGCAGCTCTGCGTCTTCCCAGAGTTCAAATGTCTGAGCGAATTTAACAAATATTTTAGACAAATGAAGCATTTTTTAAACAAACTTAACAAATGTTTAACAAATTTAAAAGTCAGATCCAGGGTAGTGCCTATTAGAAAGGATGGGATTGGGGCAGGTGAAACCACTGGACTGTGGGTGGCCTTGTAGCGGGGTTGTGAGATGCTGGCTGCTGGCGGGGTGTGTGGTTGCTATGTTTCCTTCCTGTGTCTCCAGGGGACTCCTGATGAAGGATGAGTGGTGACCACTGGAGGCCGACAGATGGAGGAAGGCAACGCCTCCCCAGCCGCCCCCTGGGCTGTGCATGAGATGGAGGCCTGTGAGCGTCCGGCCAAGACCAGGAGCCTGCCGGCCTCCCCCTACGAAGAGTTTCACAAGGACACTGAGGAGGTCATCTGTCCTCCTGATCTGATTTTAGACCTGAGTAACAGCGGTCTGAGTCATGTTGGAGAGGCCTTCAAAATCCCCAACCTTCAAGTAAGTGGCCAGGTCCTAAGGTGTTGCACAATGCCGTGAGATGAAGTGGCCTGGAAGAGGGCACTGGCCTTGTGTTCCAGGCCTCTGTCTCCTTAGGAGGGATGAATTCTAGACTGAGGCACAGGAAGGGTTCATGGGCTTTCATATGCTGATGATAGCAAAGAGCAATGGAGAAGCAGCACTAGGCAACCCAGATGGATACCTAGCCAGATGGCACCGTCTCTGTCTGCAGATTGCCTTTCTCGACCAAGAAGTCTCAGCCAGAAAACATCCAGATGACCTTTCCTTTTTCCTTTTCTTTTCTACCCCCTCCTTCCCTTCCTCCCTCCCTTCCTGTTTTGAGTCAGGGTCTCACTATATAATTTTAAACGCATTAAGCCCCGCCCCCCAGTGCACTCCTCTCATTAACACCAACATTTAGGGCCACACTACTGGCCTAGGGGCTCCTCACCTGTGTTCCTGTCATGCACATGTTACTTATGAGAAGTAAGTGCTTACAATTTTAACAAAGGGGTCTGGTCAGCCTTAAGCTTCTTGATGCTCTTACACAGGCAGAGGAAGAAGGCGACTCCACTTTAGATTTCACACGGATCTTCATAACGTACGCCTTCCAGAGGACAGGTATCAGTTAGAATTTTATTACCACAACAGAAGTCAGTAGGCAAGGCAGAACATACCGGGCCAGGGCCCCACTGTGAGCTGCAGACCATAGGGGTGAGGGCCTCTATCTGAGCTGTAGACCTAGGGGTGAGGGCCTCTCTCTGAGCTGTAGACCATAGGGGTGAGGACCTCTATCTGAGCTGTAGACCATAGGGGTGAGGACCTCTATCTGAGCTGTAGACCTAGGGGTGAGGGTCTACCTCTAAGCTGTAGACCACAGTGGTGAGTGCCTCCCTCTGAAAGCTAAGTTATGCAGCTGCAGTAGCAATCCCAGCAGCCATAAACAACGCTACCAGACATGCAGACTTGTGAATATAGAAAGAACCTTCCCCTTTCACCCACGCAGACCCCCAACAAAAGCCAGAGAAAGTCTCAGATGCAAAGCATTGGCTGCTCTAGCAGGGAAAGGGAGTTGTGTAATTTTCTAAGCTCATTTACTGGCTTTCAGAGGGACCTGTGGCTTCAAATCTGAACACCAGACTTAGCTCACAGGTAGAAGAAAAGAGAAGGTCTGAAAAGGTGAAAAATCTCCACTAAAGGAACAGGAAGGGCCATGATGGAGGAAAACACACACCTGTGAACGGGGACATTGCCTGCCATGCTCAGGCACACACATGTGTGTGGGGACATGTGCTCATGCATTTCAAGGGTTCTTTCCCTGTATCCATGCAGGGGGCGGCATGCATTTTCATATGCCTGGAGGTGTGTATTTGTGTGTGTGTGTGTGTGTGTGTGTGTGTGTGTGTGTGTGTGTGATGTGCAATCTCATGCACCTGGAAGGCATACATGTATGTACATGGGACAATTGGAGATGTACATGACCGGTGTTTCCATGTACCTGGATATGTACGTGAGCACTTTCTCATGTATCTGGAAGCATGTACTCTGTACCTTAATTGCCACTGCTCTCTAGAGATTATACCAGATGCCAGGAGACAGGTGTGGTGGTTCCCAGAAGCCTACAAGTGATTTTGGTTTGGAAGACAGGGCTGGTAGTTGAATTGGAATTTAGGAAATCATAATGGCTAGCACTTGTGGGCACTTCCTGGTTTTCTGCTCATTTGGTGCTACTCTGCAGCTTAGGTCCCAGACCCTCATCCTACAGGTAAGTCGCGGCACAGAACACATCAAGAACTTGCTGAAGGTTGTATAGCTAATAGTTTTTGAAATCTGACTTTGAGCCCAGACAACCTAGAGTCTGGTCAGTGCTCGTTCCAACTATTTCTAGGGCCCAGCTGAATGTGAATATTGGTGCAAATATGTGTGATCATGCAAATAGATACACAATATAACAACAGCATTAAGTAAGGTATTTTTTAAAATTACCTTTAAGTCAGCCATGGTATGGCTATAAATTACATACACAGTGTTCCACCTTATCCAGAAAGATTAAGTAGAAAATTGAGAAGTGATTAATGCTTTAATAGCTTATTACAATCTGTTGTTAGTTTTACTAGTTATTGTTCTTACTGTGCGAAGTATGTAAGTTACACCTTATACTGGAAACAGTGTCTTCCAGTGCTCTGTGGTCCCAGCACCCGCAGGAGATGGCTCAGGTCAGCAGTGTGCATACTCCTTTCTCTTATTTATGATGATGACGTAAACTTCTGCTGTGATGATGTGTCATGCTCTGGAATGATCATTTCTAGGGTTATTTGATGTGGCTGTTCCTCCTAAATTGTGCCACAGCAAATCTCTCAAGAGCCTCTGTCCTTGAGTCTTGCAGGCTTAGACTGAATCCCTGGCTTTAGTCGTGATTTCTGACTATTCACTGCCAGGGCTTCTGAGAGTCATGATGGCTTCCTGTGGCAGGAAGAAGAAACTGGAGGTTAAAACCTCAAGATGCTTGATGTGGAGGCGATGTGTGTGCAGTCCCTCGCAGCTCTGAAAGTGGCGATATGTGTGCTGTCCCTCGCAGCTCTGAAAGTGGCTTTTCCCCCTGCCCAAGGTGTGCACGTTGTGTCTGCTGTTTTAGCTCCTTAAGTGTAAAACTTTTCTGTGTGATGTCTGTAGTTGTGGTTGTCAGCAGGCCTTTTGCAGTGTTCTTGACATAGCCATTTCAGATGCAGCTGCTAACAGCACGTTCTGGTTCCCCTCTTGTGGAAGCAACTGTACCTGCAGAGAAACGCCCTGTGCACCATCCCTGGGGACTTCTTCCAGCGGCTGCCCAGCCTGACCTGGCTTGACCTTCGCTTTAACAAGATTAGAGTGCTTCCCGTTGGGATCGGATCTCATAAGTAAGTGGTGGGGTTTTCTTTCTAGATCTTAAGAAAGCATTGTTTCAAAGTGCCTAATTCCGGGTCCCTGGCAGCATGGCTTCTCTTCGGCAGTAAAGCAGCAGGTTTTTAGATTTCTTTTTTTTTGGGGGGGGGCGGTCGTGGGGCCTGAACTCAGGGTCTGGGCGCTGTCCCTCAGCTCTTCAGCTCAAGGCTAGCACTCTACCACTTGAGCCGCAGTGCCACTTCCGGCTTTTTTTCTTTTTTGCTTATGTGGTGCTGAGGAATCGAACCCAGGGCCTCAGGCATGCAAGGCAAGCGCTCTACCACTGAGCCACCTTCCCAGCCCCAGCAGCAGGTTTTTGAGGAATCGAACCCAGGGCCTCAGGCATGCAAGGCAAGCGCTCTACCACTGAGCCACCTTCCCAGCCCCAGCAGCAGGTTTTTAGAGTCAGCTGTCCCAAGCGCGCCCAGCAGAGCCGCCGTGATGCTGGCTCTGGGGAAGGGGCAGAAGCCAAGCCTTTATGGGGCAGTCCGTGCAGGTTTTGTGAGCTCTGATTCCATCTGACTCACTCTGCCTGCAGGTCAGGAGTTAAATCCAGCCACTCAGTTCCTACAGGCCCCCATAATTTGGAAAATAATGGGAAATCCTCTTTTTGGAAAGCTGGAAAGGCCTAAGCCAAGAGGTGTACTTGGCCACACCTCCTCCCTCAGATTCTAAGGATGCCCTTGCTGTCCTACCCAAGAGCAGAACTCTGTCCATTCTTGAAAGCCTCTCCCAGAGGCTGGAGCCTCTGTGGAGTCTGCCTCCTTTCCTGAGCCCACCCTCCAATACGTCCTCCTGTGCCAGGGCTTCTCAGCCCTCAGAAGCCATAGTGCAACAAATGCTTAGACCCTCCCTCGCGTCAGCGCGCCTGGGCTGGTGGAAGAGCTTGTGCCCAAGCCCTGGGAGAGGGCAGGGTTGACACAGAGGCCAGGGTGGAGAAGCGGAGCAGGATGATGCAGAAGGAGGCCAAAGAGTTGGAATCTGTGTTCTCAACTTGGGAATTTGTTTGCAAAGAACTAGCAAGTTCCAGGAAGGCTGGAATGTAAGGGAGTAGAGCTGGACTTGGCCTCTGATCACTGAATGGAAGCCACTTTGTAATCCCTGAAGGAGGCCGTGGTCAGGCTGGATCTCCGGGCACTGACACAGGGAGAAGAGAGGTCTCCAGGGTGATCACCACATGACAGTAGCCTAAGCCCTATGCAGGGAGGCACAGGGCCCTTCCCCTGGGTTCCATGTGCTGTCTTACAACATTATTAAAAGGGAGACTAGGCCGGGCGCCGGTGGCTCACGCCTGTAATCCTAGCTACTCAGGAGGCTGAGATCTGAGGATCGTGGTTCAAAGCCAGCCCGGGCAAGAAAGTCCGTGAGACTCTTATCTCCAATAAACCACTAGAAAACTGGAAGTGGTGCTGTGGCTCAAGCAGTATAGTGCTCGCCTTCAGCTGAAGAGCGCAGGGACAGCGCCCAGGCCCAGAGTTCAAGCTCCACGACCAACAAAAAAAAGGGAGACTATTTTGCCATTCAGAGCTGTGAAGTGGCTACTCCTGTGGTTGCTAGTTTGAGCAGCTAGAGTCTCTTCCAGGAGCCCTAGGTACCTTGAGTGAGTCTTGAATGGACCCTTGGGCACCAGGCATATGTGCGGCTTCCTGCTCAGCCAGCTGGGTGCGGGCGCTGTCCAGGAGGCCCCATCTCCTAGGCCTCCCACTGTCAGTGTCCTCTGGCTGGGAACTGAGTTTTCCCTGCCCAAAATTCTTTCAGCCTCAGCACTCACTTCTAGAGAGCAATTACTACAAAGAGTAAAAATAAACTAAAGCCTACTCCTGTAAACACCACTTCTTCCTGAAATAAGCAGTCAGAGCAGCTGCTTTGCGGTGTTCAAGACTCAATTTATCACCCATTCTATCAGAATTGGATCAGCTTGCTGAGAGCTACAACATATCAATTAAAAACTTTAAGGAATTATGCCTTATTAAAGTCTTAAATGTAAAAAGTACAAAACAATGACAATGTTGGTGTTCTCCCTCTCTCCCTGTCCTGGATGTGAGATTTGCCTGGCAGAGGAGGTTTTTGAAAGGTGGATGGAGGTCTTTTGCCTTCTGAGGCACACAAGCTCCGTGCATTGTGTAGATCAGATGCAGCTGAGAGTCAGTGAAATGGAACTGGCAGTGAGCAAACTTTGCGTTGCAGACAGCACACAATGAATTAGCACTCAGAAATGGATCATTTAAGGTGTACACAAGAATATTCTAGTGTATCATTGCAGCATTGCCTACAGTAGGAAAATCTCCTGCCTGCTTCCAATTTAATATTGGTAAATGTTTTACCATTTCCCCTGCCAAAAAACCCACAAACCCAGACCTGGGTCAAGCCCATCCTTCTCCCTTACCTAGGAGAAGCCCAGGGCTGCCCCCCTCAGGGTCTGGGAGAAGCCCAGGGCTGCCCCCCTCAGGGTCTGGGGGACCTGTTCATCTTAAAGTGCTGTCTCCAACTTTTGGGCTATTTCCTTATGAACAAAGATAAGTGAGTGAAGTAGCAATCATGAACAGTCTCCTTCAGAATTTCATTCTTTAAACATGTCAAATAGTAAGAAGACTTGGAGAAATGAGTTAATGGTCCCACAGTGAACAGAAAGTGGGTGTGAGCTTTACCCACAGCCCTGGGACCCCGGGGGACTGGTGTGCCCAGCACACCTGTTGTGCGGCAGAGCAGCCCCGGAGCGGCCGCCCCGCCCTCGTGGTGAGGGGAGCAGAGTGTCAGCAGTTGCCCCTCAGTGCTGTGTGGCCTGGAGCCGCAGGAGCTGTGCCCTGGAGGAGGTGCTCTCACCGGAGGGGAGGGGCGGGTGCCGGCTTGAGTGGGCTGTTTATGACAGACGTCGGCCCAGGACCTCTAAGAAACAAAGAAAAGAGAACCAGATCATTAGTCTTTAGAATTAACTGTGAAAAATAAGAAGCCAAGTAGCATAAAGGTGCCGGAGGGAGTTGACCTGGAAATAGTTGACCCGTGCAGAGTTAGCATGTCCATTTATCTGTGCTGTCCAGCTATTTTATATATACTCCATATGGATGCTAAGTTTTCTAAGGGTTGTTACTAGGTAGAGAAAGATGGGATCCAGGGTCATACATGCTCCAGAAACACTATCCTGACTGCACTCTTGGCCTGAGTCTCCAGTCCTGGGGGTAGACAGCTGGCCCCTGGGGGAGTGGACATACTGCCCAGAGAACTCCCAAATGCTTCTGATAGCTGCTTCTCAAAGACCATCTTGAAATACTAGCATTGCCTCTAGTGTGTCCCAGGAAAAACCACCAACTGTGAGGTCTGAACAGAGATGGGGAGCCCGCCAGGGGGCATGCAACAGGCCTTGGATTTGCACCCAGGATCTACTGGTGACGTCCAGAGACATTAGTGGCCATCACTCTGGGGCTGGGGTGCCACAGGATATCCTCCAGGTGTGGGAAGTTCAGAATGAAGAGCTGCTGGGCCTCTGGCCCTAGTAACCCCAAGGCAGAGTGAGCCTCCTGGAGTCCCGAGACACACTCCTATAATGTACCTTACCAAACGACCCATCAGAAAAGACAGATGAAAAAAATCACCATAACTGTAGAGATGGTCACTTAATTTTCTGCCTCTGAAATTATTTTTGTTTTGTTTTGAAGGCATTTGAAAACTTTGCTTTTAGAAAAAAATCCTATCAAAACGTTACCTGTGGAGCTGGGTAAGTGCTGGAGTAATTAGATAAGTGATCTCGCCGCACTGGAAGTTTCTAGGCCTTATGACAGAAGTGCTATCAGTATTGCAGAACCAGCCACACGGCGGCGGGTGGGCGGTGTTTGGGGGTCGAGTGGCTCCTGCAGTTACACATGTTGCCCGTGTGGAAGGTGCACGTGTACGTGTGTGTGACAAGTGGTGAGAATGTAGAGCTCTGTGTACAGCAATCTGTCTCCCCTGGTGCTACTGGTCACAGCGTGGGTCACACCCCTTGGGCCTGTGTGCTTTTCCTGGAGCCCCAGAGCCTTGTCTGAGCACCCTCTTTCAGAGTGTTAATAAGTTGAGTCTGGGCCCCTGTACCCCTGGTTGGGGTGTGTGTGTGTGTGTGTGTGTGTGTGTGTGTGTGTGTGTGTGTGTGTGTGTGTGTGTGTGTGTGTGTGTGTGTGTGTGTGTGTGTGTGTGTGTGTGTGTGTGTGTGTATGGTTTGTCCACATGACTGTGTAACATAATTTGCTCGTTTGTGTGCATTTTCCTGTCTTTGAGGAGGAAGATAACTTTCTCTATTTTGCATTTGAATTGTCTCTGTTTTCTGTTCTTTGTTATTTGTGTCTGCTTCATTTGGATTTGATTTTCCATATTTTCAAGCTTAATTGAGTTGAAAGCTTGGGTTTTGATTTTAAATTGTTCTTTTCTAATGTGTATTTACAACTACAATATTGCCCTACATACTGCCTTAGTATTTTCCTCCTGTTTTGACTTGCAAGTGATTTTATCATACAGATGAAAATGTTCCTGATATAATCACTTCATTGGGCTATACATGAGTATGCTGTTTAATTTATATAAAAAATAAAACAAAAAGCAGACTTTCCAACTATCTTCTGTAGTAATGTTCCCTTTAGTCACCATTTTAAAGTCAGTCTGGATTTTAGAAAAGCAAAATCTACATACGACCTGGAGCAATGTATTAAACCACAGATAGCTTGAATAGGTTGAAAGGGAACGCATAGAACACAGGCTTTGCCGGAGGAAATGTGGCACAGTGGCAGGGGCTGCAGAGCCTGGTGTCCGGCGCTTCCTCCGCGGCTGTCAGCAGCCCTTCATCTCACATCGGGGCCTTCTGTCTCCTGGACACATGCCGTCAGTGCCATTCTGTCCCATGGGTGCTGGAACATTCTGTGACCTCGGCATTGTATTCCGTCGGCCAGGGACACTGACGTCAGGTGTTAGCCTGTCACTGTGGAGTGTTCGCTTCCTTCTGTCCTCTGTCCTCAGACACTCGTGTGTCACCTGGGTGGCTCTGTCGTCAGACACTCGTGTGTCACCTGGGTGGCTCTGTCATCAGACACTCGTGTGTCACCTGGGTGGCTGTGTCGTCAGACACTCGTGTGTCGCCTGGGTGGCTGTGTCATCAGACACTGGTCTGTCACCTGGGTGGCTCTGTCATCAGACACTCGTGTGTCACCTGGGTGGCTCTGTCCTCAGACACTCGTGTGTCACCTGGGTGGCTCTGTCATCAGACACTCGTGTGTCACCTGGGTGGCTCTGTCCTCAGACACTCGTGTGTCACCTGGGTGGTTCTGTCGTCAGACACTCGTGTGTCACCTGGGTGGCTCTGTCATCAGACACTCGTGTGTCACCTGGGTGGCTCTGTCCTCAGACACTCGTGTGTCACCTGGGTGGTTCTGTCGTCAGACACTCGTGTGTCACCTGGGTGGCTCTGTCGTCAGACACTCGTGTGTCACCTGGGTGGCTCTGTCATCAGACACTCGTGTGTCACCTGGGTGGCTCTGTCGTCAGACACTCGTGTGTCACCTGGGTGGCTGTGTCGTCAGACACTCGTGTGTCACCTGGGTGGCTCTGTCGTCAGACACTCGTGTGTCACCTGGGTGGCTCTGTCATCAGACACTCGTGTGTCACCTGGGTGGCTGTGTCATCAGACACTCGTGTGTCACCTGGGTGGCTCTGTCGTCAGACACTCGTGTGTCACCTGGGTGGTTCTGTCGTCAGACACTCGTGTGTCACCTGGGTGGCTCTGTCATCAGACACTCGTGTGTCACCTGGGTGGCTCTGTCCTCAGACACTCGTGTGTCACCTGGGTGGCTCTGTCGTCAGACACTCGTGTGTCACCTGGGTGGCTCTGTCGTCAGACACTCGTGTGTCACCTGGGTGGCTCTGTCATCAGACACTCGTGTGTCACCTGGGTGGTTCTGTCGTCAGACACTCGTGTGTCACCTGGGTGGCTGTGTCATCAGACACTCGTGTGTCACCTGGGTGGCTCTGTCGTCAGACACTCGTGTGTCACCTGGGTGGCTCTGTCATCAGACACTCGTGTGTCACCTGGGTGGCTGTGTCGTCAGATACTGGTCTGTCACCTGGGTGGCTCTGTCATCAGACACTCGTCTGTCACCTGGGTGGCTGTGTCATCAGACACTCGTGTGTCACCTGGGTGGCTCTGTCGTCAGACACTCGTCTGTCGCCTGGGTGGCTCTGTCATCAGACACTCGTGTGTCACCTGGGTGGCTCTGTCATCAGACACTCGTGTGTCACCTGGGTGGCTCTGTCGTCAGACACTCGTGTGTCACCTGGGTGGCTGTGTCATCAGACACTCGTGTGTCACCTGGGTGGCTCTGTCGTCAGACACTCGTGTGTCACCTGGGTGGCTCTGTCGTCAGACACTCGTGTGTCACCTGGGTGGCTCTGTCCTCAGACACTCGTGTGTCACCTGGGTGGCTCTGTCATCAGACACTCGTGTGTCACCTGGGTGGCTCTGTCCTCAGACACTCGTGTGTCACCTGGGTGGCTCTGTTGTCACTTCTGCCTCTCAATCTTGCTGTGTCTCATGGTCTGTCAGGTCTGTTCTGTCACCCGCTCTGCTCATGGTGTCCTGCCGCTCATGCAGTTAGAACTGTTGTCACTTAGACGCAGCCAGCATCATTCTGTCTCTAAGGTGCTGCTCATGGAAAATAGGATGGTTTTCATTTATGCTCCTCAGAGAAGATAGATAACTGTCCTCAAATTCGGAAGATAGATAACTGTCCTCAAATTCGGAAGATAGATAACTGTCCTCAAATTCGGAAGATAGATAACTGTCCTCAAATTCAGAGTCTTTTTCCCTCTCGTTTCCAAAAGGCTACTAAGGCTGTCTAGTAATTTTTTTGGCACAGTCTTTTTAGTTTTCATTTATTAAAAAAATGGTTTCTGTGTGTCTGTGAGTTTTTTTTTTTTGGTTCAGGGTTTTTTTCTGGGTTTTTTTTGGTGGTTGTGGGGCTTGAACTCAAGACCTTGGCACGATCCCTGAGCTCCTTTTGCTCTACCACTTGAGCCACAGCGCCACTTCTGGTTTTCTGGTGGTTGAGATAAAAGTCTTATGGACATTCCTGCCCAGGCTGACTTTGAACCATGATCCTCAGATCTCAGCCTCCTGAGTAGCTAGGATTACAGGCATGAGCCACTGGTGCCCAGTGAGGAGGTCTCTTTTTTAATTTGGGGCAGACACACTTTCCTTCACACTTTTGGACATAGTTGTCATAGTCACTTTAGAATTCTTACCTACCAAGCTATTTGGTCTCAAGGTAAGTTTACCTTGACATGAAGGTGGCTTTACCCTATATCTCTTGTTTCTCCCAGATAATTTCTGTTTTGTTAGCATTCCTCATTTGTTACCATTTTATTCTATTGTCCTCTAATTCTTCAAGCATCTCTTGTCATCTCTCTGGACATATTTATAATGTGCATACTAGGCATTGGGGCCTGCCCTCAGACAGTTCCTATTGGTGCCTCCTGAGTTCAGGCCACATACCGCGCCTTTCCTTTGCATGTCATGTCATTTTGGGGTTACAAATAGACATTTTAGGTCATATAGAAGCTTTGGTCTATGAATTTTACCTGAAGGTTTTCCTGTCATTTAATTTTACTTATTTTTCATAACTAGCTTGTTCTTGGCCTGTCTTCCTTTGCAGTCTTCCTTCCTTCCTTCCTTCCTTCCTTCCTTTCTTTCTTTCTTTCTGTCTTTCTTTCTTTCATCAGTTGTGGGCCTGAACTCTGGGCCTGGCCACTGTCCCTCAGCTTGTCAGCTCAAGGCTAGCGCTCTACCACTTAAGCCACAGCTCCACTTCCAGCTTTTCCTGCTGGAAAAGGCAAGCACTCTATCACTGAGCCACCTTCCCAGCCCCTCTGCAGTTTTTGAAAAGCAAGATGTCCATGATCCCTTCTTATATCAAATACCGGGGGAGTCATTTTGAGACATGAAAGTTGTTGCCTCCTTCCCACGATTGCATTCATTCTGTAGACGAATGCAGAGTTGAAGCCGCTCTTCTCCCGTGCAGGGAGTGTGTCCACACTGAAATCGCTGAACTTGAGACACTGCCCTCTGGAATTCCCTCCTCAGCTGATTGTGCAGAAGGGCTTGCTAGCCATCCTGACCTTCCTACGGATGTGTGCGGTGGATCGCCGCTCTACAGATGCAGCTCCTCCAGGTTTGTAGACAGTTGTTTACTGCCAGTTGCACAAAAACCAAAGTGAGAGGTTTTAGGATTGGGGCAGAGCGTGGTGGTGTCACAGAGATCCAACTCTTCCCTGCTGAGCTCATGTGGTAAACACAAGTCCCCAGGCCGGCCGGAACTCTCCAGTGTCATGTGCTCTGTTTACGATGCAGTGTCTGTGTAAGGAAGAGGCGTGTGAGGGCTGTACAAGCATGTGAGACGCATGTACACAGCATCAGCTCTGACAGACAGGATGGCAGTGTGGAAGAGACTGGATGCCTTGAGCGGGGGTAGTTGATCCCATGAAAGGCCACACTCTAAGGCAGGAGTGAGGATCTGGACCTGTCCTGTGGAGGTCAAGTGCAGGGCCTTTGGACAGCCTCTGGGATCTTGTCATGCACCATCATTAAAGATACCATGACAGACCCCAATGTAGGAACACTCTGGAAGCTAATCTGTGTTCTTACCTCCAAGAGGAAGCATTGAGGTCAGTTCCCAAGTGGAGGAAGTGTAGGGATAGAAAGGTCAGAGGGGGGAGATGACAGTGAGGTTCTCCGTTCACCCTGCCCCTTGGCTCCCACTAGCCTGGCGTGCCCACACCTGTCTAGGCCACACCCGTCCTGGCCACACCCCTCCAGGCCACGGCTCTGAGTGTCTGCCTTTCCCTGAGCAGTTAATCAGCCCGCGTCCCCAGGAGGGGGAGAGACACCCCACAGCTCGAGACCGTGATGAATGAGCTGTGGCCTCTGTTCCCTCATAGTTCACATAGCTCTGAGGTCTCCAGTAGCTAACAAAGCAGGCCCAAAGCAGTATCTTACACCTATTGATTGCTGTAGAAGGTTACCCCAAATAGAACTGTGTGAGGAGGCCAAGCCTTCAAGCACTGTGTCCGTGCCCTGCCTGGTGTGTGACAGCCTCCAGGGCCCGGGATGGGGTGCTGCCCCCTGCACACCCCTCCCCTGGAGGACCGGGATGGACAGTGCCACCTCAGCACCTTACTAAAGGACAGGTGTCGGGTTGATGGGTTGGTCTTGGGCTAAGACGATGTTTACTCCACCAGAGGCCGCACCGGTTAAGAAGACAGTCCTCAGTGAGCTTCCAGCCCTCGGAGTGGCCCCACCCCAGGACCCCGTGTCTGCCAAACAAGCCGTCAGTCTGCCCGAGGCTGTGCAGAAGGAGAAGGATAGCTTCCTCCCACCTGTTGACAGGCAGGACCAGGACCAAGTGTCCATACACTCCTTAGAACACTGGCCAAGCAAGGAGGAGATCCGGCGCTTCTGGAAGCTGAGGCAGGAGATTGTGGAGAATGGAAAAGCCAATCTTGCTGGGAACCAGCTCCTGCCAGTCGAGCTGCCTCCCAACATCCAGGCGACACTGAAGACCAAGGAGAGGGACTACCCACCACCCAGGGACGTGCTCAGGTAGGACGCACGGGGGCTTGGCAGAGTCGTAATTATCTTAGAACCCAAGGTCCGAGTTTAAGCTGCTCCTGTGGATTCTCCTACTTGGGTTTAGCATGGCAGCAGACCAGAGAACAGGTCCAACAGAGACCACTGGGAGAGGCATCTCTTGGGTAGTGTGTGGAAAGCACATACATCCAGTGTGTCTGCGAGGGAAGGGACGGCGGGTAGGTCTCTATAACTAGTATGGGAGAGAAGGGGAATGTTGCCACCCCATGAGCTGGCTCGCACCCTCTCGAGGGGAGTGTCATGAGGTCCCTGGGGATCGCAGCAGTGTCCTGGGAGGTGGAGATCTCAGAAGCGGCCAGGGCACATCCTGGCGCTCAGGGTGGCAGGAGCAGCTCTGCAGCCACCTCCGGTGCGCGATGTCAGGAGGTCACTGCGCGGGGAGGGGCCGAGGGGCAGGCGGTAAGAAGGCAGGCCGAGAGGTGGCCAGTCCATTCAAACATAAAAACCCTTGGAGCATCACTGACAGGTTACAGCCTAGTGACCACTCTCAGAGCCTTCCGTGGGCTTCCGGCACCCGTGTGGCTCTCAGGGAGCAAAGTCACCTGCCCAGCGTGCAGGAACACGCCAGCCTGCCATCTAGAAGCCTCCCTCCTCCCTCCCCCCGTGATGCACAGTAATGGCGGCTGACTTGAGTCAACTGCAGTTAGCTCAGTAGCAGCACTTACCAGGCTGTCGCCCTGCCCAAGTCACGGTGGTTGGTTTGGGTGGTGTGGGGGGTGGGGCAGCCAGGCCCCAGGGCTGCAGCCTGCAGTGATTTAAGGAGCTCTTTTCCTACGGCCTTGCAGGGCAGCAGCGGACGGGCTGTTCAGGGCATGGTGTCCTGCCAGTCTGCCCAGGATCGCACTGCTTTCTGAATTAACACAAATACAGTGGCTTTTGATGGGAAGCTAGTCACAATCCCTGTGCAGTTGACCCACAGCCTTGCTGTTAGATTGTTGATTAATTGGTCACATGAAAACACGGGGTCCTTATGGGGTCTCCCAAAGAAGTCACTTAAGAACACCCTGTGCGTTCAGGAGTACTCACTTGCGAACGTTTCGGTTTGAGGAGGAAGACTGCCCCCTTCAAGAGCATCTTCCCAGCCCTCACATCACATTACCAAGCGGCCATGGGAGGGAGAAGACTGGAGGAGAGTCGCGTGTTCAGGGAGATCCAGGAAAAGCAGACCCTGGTGGAGCAGCGGAGAAGGTGCGTCTGCGGAGGGGGCGGGCCGTGGGGGCAGCAGCGTCTGCGGGGGGGGGGGGGGGGAGAGGATGGGGCCGTGGGGGCAGCAGCGTCTGCGGGGGGGGGGGAGAGGATGGGGCCGTGGGGGCAGCAGCGTCTGCGGGGGGGGGGAGAGGATGGGGCCGTGGGGGCAGCAGCGTCTGCGAGAGGGGGGTGGGGGGTGGGAGGGGATGGGGCCGTGGGGGCAGCAGCATCTGCGGGGGGGGGGGTGGGGGAGAGGGCCGTGGGGGCAGCAGCGTCTGCGGGGGGGGGTGGGGGAGAGGGCCGTGGGGGCAGCAGCGTCTGCGGGGGGGGGGTGGGGGAGAGGGCCGTGGGGGCAGCAGCGTCTGCGGGGGGGGGGGGTAGAAGGGGATGGGGCCGTGGGGGCAGCAGCGTCTGCGAGGGGGGGGTGGGGGTGGGAGGGGATGGGGCCGTGGGGGCGGCAGGGTCTGCGGTGGGGCTGTGGGGGCAGCAGCGGGGGGGACATGGGGCACAGCGTCTGGGGAACATGGGGGCAGCATCTGCCAGGGGGTGGGGGGAGGGGGCCGTGGGGGCAGCGTCTGGGGGTCCATAGGGGCAGCAGCGTCTGTGGGGGGGGCTATGGGGGCAGCAGCGTCTGTGGGGGGGGCTATGGGGGCAGCAGCGTCTGTGGGGGGGGTGGGCGGAGGGGGCTGTGGGGGCAGCAGCGGGGGGGACATGGGGGGCAGTGTCTGGGGGACCGTGGGGGGCAGCATCTGCTGGAGGAGCAGGGGGGAAGGGGCCGTGGGGGCAGCGTCTGGGGGTCCATGGGGGCAGCAGTGTCTGCGCGGGGGGCAGGGGGAAGGGGCCGTGGGGCAGCAGCGTCTGGGGGAGCGGTGGGGGGCAGCCTCTGCCGGGGGGGGGCTGGAGGGAGGGGGCCGTGGGGGCAGCGTCTGGGGGACCGTGGGGGGCAGCATCTGCTGGAGGGGCGGGGGGGAGGGGGCCGTGGGGGCAGCGTCTGGGGGTCCATGGGGGCAGCAGTGTCTGCGCGGGGGGCCGGGGGGAGGGGGCCGTGGGGGCAGCGTCTGGGGGTCCATGGAGGCAGCAGCGTCTGGGGGAGCGGTGGGGGGCAGCCTCTGCCGGGGGGGCCGGGGGGAGGGGGCCGTGGGGGCAGCGTCTGGGGGTCCATGGAGGCAGCAGCGTCTGGGGGGGCCGTGGGGGGCAGTGTCTGGGGGGCGGGGGAGGGGGCCGTGGGGGCAGCAGCACTGTGCCCGTGGTTCGTGGTAGCTAGCTTGTTGGGAGGTGGCTCAGGCTCCATCTTCAGTGTCCACTGTGTTCTACCTGCTGGCCGTGCTGGCCGCGAGCTTCACCCGGCTGCCAGCCCAGCTGCTGGCCAACACGGACCATGTCCACAGTGTCCTGGTGCTCTCCCCTTGCGTGTGCTCAGCCGGGCGTGGGTCCCGGCAGGCACTGGGGAGACGGGAAGAGCCAGGGCAAACTCAGTGTCTGGTCCCTTTGCAAGCTCCTTGGGGCTGGCCAGCCCCACACACACCGACCGCAGCTTTCCTCCTAGCTCTGGCAGACTCCTCTTTCATGATGGGCCACAGATCTGGGATGGCCAAGCCATGCTGAGACCTGGGCTCTGCCCTACCCTGGACTTCCTGCCTCTCTCCTTCTGAGGTCTGGCTGTGAACAAACCCTTATGAAGGGTCTGTGGGGTGCATGTCGCTTCCCGGGGGCCTGAGCAGGACAGACTGCTTGTGAGGCGGCATCTGTCAGAGGCCGGCTGACCTCTGAGCTGGACACACTCGTGGCTGTTTGTCTTTCTTCAATTAGTACTTGGAGTACAAACAGCAGATAAAAACTCACCTCAGTCTTGAGACCTTGTCAGTGTCTCCTGGGCAGCTCGGGAGGCCTGCTATGCGCTTCATGCTTGGGGCACAGCCCCCTGGGGCTGCTTCTGGTCACGGTAGGTCCCTCCTGCCCCGTGGATGGAGAGACGGCAGACTTGGTGTCTGGGGACCGACTGGAGGAAGCCGGGGATAACGGTGTACTGGAGCTGGGCTCCAGAGCCCGCTGGGCAGCTTGGGGAGACACTGCTTCCCTCTGGACCTCCATGCTGGAGCCCAAGGAGAATGCTGTCAGGTGTGAGGACATCAGTCAGGAGCTGACCCCAACAAGGCAGAGCCTCTGACCCTGCAGAGTGACACTCAGGAGGTGCGCGGCAGGCCCAGGGCGGATGGGCCGGGGACAGAGCCTGGACACCTGTGAAGGGGCAGCAGGCAGAGGCTCCCCTGGGGGCATGGTGGGTGCCGGCCACAGGGGCTGACGGCAAATAAGGAGTTGTTCCAATAGGTAGGGGCGCTGAGGCCACGATGGTGATAGGCAAGGTCTTATCCTGCCCCTAGCCACACTGGACCGTTGAGGGACTTGCTCTGGTGGGTGGGCCGCCTCCCACCGACCTGCAGCGCCAGGGCCACCACAGGAGGCCGGGGAGGAAGGGGGCGCCTGCCTGGGGCTCTGTAAGGCGGAGGCAGCGAACTGTCCCGCAAAGTCTGCTTGTGAGTGAGCGTCTTTCCAGCCTTGCGTGCCCCAGGGCTGCGGTGCAGCACCCATAGCCTGGCCCACTCCCTCCAGGGCGGTCAGCGCTGTGCCCGGCTCTGGGCACTGGGGCTGGAGGCACCCTGCCGCCTTGGCCAGCTGTTAGCTGCTGATGGCAGCACACGCAGACACACAGAGTGTCTTGGCTTGGGATCTGCAGCTCCTAACTCTGCCTAAAATGTGTGGGGAATCTGAGAGGAAGGCTTGCTCGCCCTGCTCAGTGCTGCCCTTCAGGGGCTGGGCAGACAGGGGGAAAAGCTGTCTGGGAAGCAGAGATTGACAGATAGGAAGCCTTATAAACTTTGCTTGAAGCTGTGCACAGCTTGGGACTTCCATATGACTGATGTTTCCTCTAGGGATAGAAGGACGCTGCAGGAGTGGAGAGAGCAGGCCCAAATGAAGAGGAGGAAGCAGCCCAGCGTTCTCTTGCCTCTGCAGAGGAACCTGGTATGTTGTCTAGATGGTCCTGCTGGACCTGCCTGTGTGAGGACCAGGTGCCGGGCAGGGCTCGCTCGCCGTGTCTCCACGGCCAGGGTCTGCTGTGTACAGGGCCCGCCCTGTCTCCACGGCCAGGGTCTGCTGTGTACAGGGCCCGCCCTGTCTCCACGGCCAGGGTCTGCTGTGTACAGGGCCCGCCGTGTCTCCACGGCCAGGGTCTGCTGTGTACAGGGCCCGCCCTGTCTCCACGGCCAGGGTCTGCTGTGTACAGGGCCCGCCCTGTCTCCACGGCCAGGGTCTGCTGTGTACAGGGCCCGCCGTGTCTCCACGGCCAGGGTCTGCTGTGTACAGGGCCCGCCGTGTCTCCACGGCCAGGGTCTGCTGTGTACAGGGCCCGCCGTGTCTCCACGGCCAGGGTCTGCTGTGTCTCCACGGCCAGGGTCTGCTGTGTACAGGGCCCGCCGTGTCTCCACGGCCAGGGTCTGCTGTGTACAGGACCCGCCGTGTCTCCACGGCCAGGGTCTGCTGTGTACAGGGCCCGCCGTGTCTCCACGGCCAGGGTCTGCTGTGTACAGGGCCCGCCGTGTCTCCACGGCCAGGGTCTGCTGTGTACAGGGCCCGCCCTGTCTCCACGGCCAGGGCCCGCCGTGTCTCCACGGCCAGGGTCTGCTGTGTACAGGGCCCGCCGTGTCTCCACGGCCAGGGTCTGCTGTGTACAGGGCCCGCCGTGTCTCCACGGCCAGGGTCTGCTGTGTACAGGGCCCGCCGTGTCTCCACGGCCAGGGTCTGCTGTGTACAGGGCCCGCCGTGTCTCCACGGCCAGGGTCTGCTGTGTACAGGGCCCGCCGTGTCTCCACGGCCAGGGTCTGCTGTGTACAGGGCCGGCCCGCCGTGTCTCCACGGCCAGGGCCCGCCGTGTCTCCACGGCCAGGGTCTGCTACCAGTAACTCCCACACGACTGCCCCCTGCCCATAGCCCCTGGCTGATGGGGCTGGCTTGCTTGGAGCTCACTGCCTGTTGGCTCTGGCCTTTGATGCTGCTCTTGGCTTGCTGAACTGTAGACTCTGAGAAATTAGGTACTCCACAAAGGAGGGGAAGAAGGGTTGAAGGGAAAGGATCAAACACTGCTGTGGTATCGCTGTGTTTCCGGTTACTGTCCTGGCATTCCAGACCCGCACCCCAACACTTGGAAGGCCAGTTGCCTGGGAAGCAAGGAGCGTGGCATCGTGACCTTGTCCCTGGCCCGGGGGCTAGGCATCCCTGGGACAGCACCCTTATTTCCCCTCAAGCCTCTCGGAGGCTTGCCCAGTGGGGCACGGTGGTGAGCAGGCTGATGGGTCCTTGGGCATGGGGTGGGCAGGGTGTCTGTGGACTGGTCGCGGATAGAGCTTCAATATTTGCCCTTGAGGAAAGGCTCCCTGACTAGACCTAAGCTTGTGACCCCTTAGCTGGGAAGGTCCCCAAGGGCGTGCTCTGACTGTCTTGACCTTGGCCTTTACTCCTAGCAGCAGGTGCCAGGCGGGGCTGCATCTCAGGTAAGCTTGCACAGGTTGAGACGTTAAACATTTTGTGTCACACTAATTTTTGACCGATAGAAAGTTGCAGGAGCAGTGCCGAGAGCTCCATATGCTCTTTGCCCAGCTTCTCCAGGGGATGTCTTTCGTGACCACCGAGTGGAACCCCAGTGGCGTCCATGGTGGTAAGCTGTGAGGACGCCGTCCTCGGCTCCTCTGGCCTGGCCCTTGTGGCACACAGTCCTGGTGTCCCCACAGTGTCTGCAGCCCCACGTGGTCCTGTTTGCCCTGCCTCTCCTGACCCGACGCCCCGAGCAGCCTGCCTGGCCGCTCTGTGCAATGTCTTGCTGGATGTCCTCTTTCTCCAAGCCACCTGTGGCCGGTCCGTCCTGACCCACCAAGCGCTGTTCTCCCCCAGGGCTTGCTGCCTTCCCTGGGCGCCGAGCAGGCTCGCCGCTCTGCCTGGCAAGAGCGTGTCCCTCCAGGTGGGCCCTCAGGACAGAACATCCTGTCCGGTCTCTGTCACCGAGTCCTCTTACCACCCACCATCCCTAAACTTTGTTCATCCAACCAAAACAATGGTTCGTTAGCTTTAGGAAAAAGAACAAAACAACGGGACCTTTTGCCTTCTGGAATGTCCTGGGAGAGTGGTAGAATTACAAGGTGGATCTAATCAGGCGTTGGTGCTGCCAAGGTCCCTGGCCTCTGCCTGTCTGCCGCCTGACGCGAGGAAAACTAGAAGAAGGAAGGTTGCAAAAGTAAAATCCTGGAATGGCAGGGTGCCATTGGCATCCTAGCTGCTCAGGAGGCTGAGATCTGAGGATTGCAGTTCAAAGCCAGCCCAGGCAAAAAAGCCCCCACGAGACACTTACCTCCAGTTAACCACCAGAAAACTGGAAGTGGATCTGTGGCTCAAAGTGGTAGAGTACAAGAGCTCCATGACAGAGCCCAGGCCATGAGTTCAAGTCCCACTACCAAAAGGAAACAATAATGTGAGTAGATAAAGAGTGTGAGCGTCTTCTGATAGCAGTAGAGAGCTGAGCAAGGCCGCTGCACAGCCACTGAGCACTAGAGGGCGGGTCTCAAAGCTGCAGCTGACTTTCCATCTGTCCAGCAATAGAGGAGACACGGTTTCCATGTAAGACTCATTTCGGGAATAAACTGTTCCCGTTCTATCCCTGAGAAAGTCCTCTTTAGGAAGAAGCAGGAGACACCGAGAGCAGGTGCTGTTTGGGAGAGAGGGGCCGGGAGGGGCTGTCATCCCGCGCTGCGGCCTTGAGTGGCCAGGCTTCAGGGTGGCAGAGCCATCTCGGCCTCTGCTGGCCATGGGCGGCACCCGTGCCACCGTCAGAGCCAAAGCCTAGGTAAATCACCATTGCGTATGTAACAATTAACACTATCCTGTCACTTCCAGGACTCAAAATATGTGTCCAATTAGATACTCTTAAGAATGCTTTCCAGGGGCCCGGCAAAGTGGCTGAAGTGGTAGAGTGGGGCTTAAACTCTGAGTTCAAGCCCCAGTACTGCCGAACAAACAGCCACCACCACAACAAAGAGGGCTTCCAGAGTGAAATGTGGCTATTCTCACCAGAAAGGGGAGAGTTTAAATGTCATAGGTGTCAACAGCTGAAAAATAGTTTAAAACCAAAGTATGTGGCTAGCAGAACTGCCGAGCTGGATCTCACATCTACTGACTTGAGGGGAGCGGAGAACATGATTGAAGGTTAAACTCATAAGGAATCTGCTCAGGAAGTATAATGCCTATATATTTTAGATTTATACCCCCCAAAACCCCTCAAAAGGATATAACCCTTCAAAAATACTGCTAGGACACAGGAGTCAGGAGGGAGGAGGGGGCAGAGGCCGGGAGGGAGGGGGCAGCCAGGCAGTAGAATCCCTGTGGTCAGCATGCTGGAGGCAGCCACAGTAGGCCCACATCAGATGCCATTAGTTACAGATTCCCTTTGAGGTGTGGCTGGTGCGCCTCCAGTCGCTGGCCAAGGCCGCAGTCCAAGTATGTAAGAAGATGTCGGTGTCTATATGTAAAAATGACTATAAACTGATATCGAGAACTCTGAGATTCTTCATAGGAAAATAAGCAGAGGAGGTGACAGGCAGGTGGCGAGAGGAAGTACAGGGCTGTGAGTGCATGTGTGCACGCTGTGTGATGGAATGGCTGCCGGAGGGAGGCAGCGGTGAGCGGGTGGGGTGCGCCCAGGGAAGTCCAGGCCTTGGCAGCCGCAGCTTCCTGCAAAGCCTTCTCATCCGAGCCTGCCTGCACCCTGAGCACCTTGGAGAACCGTCCACCATTTAGCAGAGATCAAGGCTATTAGGTCAAACATACTTAGGAAGAAGGATGAGTATTTGTGTGTTTCAGAACTGTTTGCAGAGGCGGGCACCCAGGAATAAAACTAGGATTCACATTAGAGCAGCCGTGGGCTGAGGGGAAGAGAGCTTCCGGTTTATGCTGGCTCCTGCAGTTGGGCACAGGGACAGGAGAGGGCGCCAGGGCCCTTTGTGTGTGGCTGCTGTGGCCACTGCAGCGGGGCCTGGGCGGCCACAGCCAGCCCTGCAGCCTGGCTCCCGCAGTGCCCGCCCGCCAGGCCCTGGCTGCCGGAAGCCCCCCCAGGGCTGGGTGCCGAGTGGGAGCCTTCGGAGCCATTGCCTGACTGCAGAACCGTGTCTCTGTGCTCCACTTGGCTGTGGAGCCAGCAGCGTGCCAGCGACCTCTGTGTGTGCCATGGCATGCTCGACATTCCCACGGGAATGGAAAGCTTGGCACGGGGCCCTGGGCAGCTGCTGCCTCTGCTCGCGCCGTGCCACGCTGCCCACGTTCCACAGCCACGCACCCACTCTGATTCTCATTAGGGAGCGGGCTACGGTTTGTAGTAATAGTAAAGCATGTCTTATCGGGCCTCTTCCCAAATAATGTTTTTAAGATTTAAGCCAACTCGATGTCTGACCGTGAGCTAGCAAGCTGTTTCTTTCTGCTGGAGTGGGGGAGGGCTGGGTCAGTCCTGCCTTGCTGACGGTGCATCAGCTCGCCCAGCCAGCAGACACTTCATCCTGGCTTGCGCGGGCCCTAGCAGCCGAACGGGGTGCATACAGGAGAAGGGTACGGTGCTTCGTTGCTAGACGAGGCCCTGGCACTGGTGACCCACCTAGAGGGAGTGGCAGATTGAACAGTGCCCGACGTCGCCCATGCTGCCCCTTCCAGATCGCAGACGGGAGGAGCTCTGGCAAAGGTTCACTGCCTCTCCACATCCCGTACCTGCCACAAGCCCTGTTTAGATTATGCACCAACCCTGCAGTCCCCATGCAAACAAGCACGTGCAGCTATGCACACACATGCTTACATCCATACAGACCCAAAGCTCCCAAGGCCAAGGCAGAGCTGGCTCTCTAGCTCAGCCACTGTGGGCCGCAGTGAGCAGCACTGGCTGCTACCCCCTCGGTGCCTTTGCCTAGCGCCTCACGTCTGGGTGTCTGCAGAAACAGCCCCTGCGGGAAGCTGGCTCGTGTGCTGTGGAGGGCACGGAGGGACCAGACGAGAATGTGTTCGGGAGTGGCTCAGCAGAGCAAGGAGCCCCCAGAGGCAGGGAGTCGGGGCAGTACCGAGCAGGACTAGCGGAGCCCCGATGTGGGGCAAAGCTGGCTCCGTCTGGGGGCACTCACAGATGGGGTAGAGAGGCTCCAGATGTGGCAGAGCCAGGGACCAGCAGCTGCCCAGCCACAGCCTGTGTTGGTGGGCGGGACGGGGCAGGGCTAGTGAGCAGGGAGGCCTGAGTTTATGCACCAACCAAAGCTGGGTGAGGAAGTCAGACCAGGCAAGCATGTCTGGTAGGCAGACACCTGGGTGACATCACGGGTCAGGAAGAGAGCACCCTGAGCGTCTTGCCTGCAGCGCTCGCCGCAGCTTGTGAGGACTCTGTCCACCCCCAGGACGCTCCCACACCACCACATCGGGCGTGGGCAGGGCCACTACAGAAGCCTTGTAGAGAGGAGGAGGGGCATCCACGGCAAGGGGCCGTGGCAGTGCTGAGAGCCGGCTCCACCTCTGTCGGCCCAGCGCTGGGCCTCAGACATCCGCCTGTGTTCCCGGCACATTGGGCACTGTCTGCTGTCCCTTGGGTTACGACGGTTTCTGTGGGGAGCTGCAGTGGTCCCTGGCCGGTGATCTTTGCAGGCAGACTCACCGAGTACAAAGCTTCTCCTTCCTTTCTCGCCTGTTTGTGTCTCCTGTATTAGCTTGAAAATTCATGATCTAAAATTTTGGCCACAACTGTGGAGGACTGTTGTCAGTAATGTAGCTTATGTGAGCCATATGGCTGCCTCAAGCTCACGGGAGGGTCCCTCCCTCTGGGCTTCCCTCTACCCAGCAGGAGCGGTCGGACAGCCCCTGGGAACTGGGCAAGCCAGGTGTGCGGTGAGGGTGCCGGCATCAAGCGTGACCCCTCTGGACAACCACTGGCTGGCCTTCGGGTTGAGAACCACTTGATGCACCTGGTACACGTGCTCAGGCAAAAGCCTTCCCTCGGAAGACATCTTCTCCATTTTCCTAGGTGGCATCCAAGATCTCATTGAGCACAAACCTCGCAAATCAGGGGCAAGTTCCAACTAACCCACTTGAGAGGATGAAACACAGGAAGGAGAAACCCATGCAAGAGAGCACAGACACTAAGTATGCTGAGTGCCCCAAAGGGCCCTCGATGTGCTGGGAGTCGGGGCCCTCCCCCGGGGGACCTGGGAGTCGGGGCCTCCACCTTGGGGCTTCCTGTAGCCAACCTCTGCCAGGTGACCACCGGGACTTAGAAGGCTACCTGGGCCCTCTGCAGGTGCCCTGACCTGCCCCAGCTCCTCTGTCCCTAGCTCTGCCCCCAGTCCCCAGCCCTGGTCTTCCTGGACCTGATCTCAAGACTCGGTGTCTGTCTTTCTTAGCCATGTGACCCCGGCCATAGGCATGCAGACACTCTAGGCAGAGCTGGCAGGTTGCTAGACATGTAGGGCTGTTACACCGAGACGTTAGCTGGCCGGTGGAGAAGTGGGGCACCACCCAGTGATTGGAAGGGGGGGGAGCTCAGGACAGCATGGTCGGGGGTCACAGCGCAGGCGGGGACAGCCAGTGAGGAGGGCTGCTGGCAGCTCAGATCCCACGGCCTGCCCTGCCGTGGAATTCACATTCACTGAGAACACCCGCCCCAGAGGGAGGGAGCAGTTTGCATCCCTTGATTATCTGTTGCTCCGTTTAACCACGTGGTAAAAAAATGTTTTTCACACACAAACATGTTCTTCACGTGTTTGTGTGCCACGTGCAGCATCCTCTGCACCGGTCCCTCTTGGTGGAGCGTGGTACTGCAGCTTTAAAACCACCCGGGCAGCAATGGGAGTGTGGCCGGGGCGAGCCCCACCTCAGCCATGGGGCCTAGGGCCTGTATGCGGCCTGTGGAGAAGCGGTCCACTTTGTCCTGGGTGGGGGCAGGGACGGCCAGACGAGATCCCGCCTCAGGGTTTCTCTGTCCTCAGTGCTGCGAGGCTGGCGGATCTGGAAGAGAGGATTCGGCAGCACATAAAGCAGCTGCAGGCACACAGGAGGCTACAAGGCACCGACCTGCTGCAGGAGGTGAGGACGGCCGTCCAGGACCTGGAGACCGTGAGTGCTGCCGCCTTGTTAAGGAACTTGTCCCCCTCAAAGCACCCTCTGCCACGGGGCTGCATTCACCACAGATGCCCTGGAGTCCTTGCTGGTGAGATGAGATGCTCAGCCGCGTCAGGCCCGCCGCCTGGCCAGGGCCGATGTCCAGCCGCGTCAGGCCCGCCGCCTGGCCAGGGCCAATGTCCAGCCGCGTCAGGCCCGCAGCCTGCCAGGGCCGATGTCCAGCATCACCCCAGCAGCCCCGGAGACAAGGACAGGATGGGGATGGGAACTGGGGTCTTTACTTGAGGTTTCTCAGCCAGAAGACCAGACTAGAGCCCAGGCCTGGCCCTGGGGTTGCTGTTGGGCCAGGGGCTGGGCTGTGGCACTGTGCCCTGTGGCCTCTGCCCCTGTAGTCATGCAGGTTGCAGTGATAGCAAGCTAGCCTCCCTCAGGGTTGTGTGCATTCTCCCCGCCTCCCCTGCTGCCGGCCGGCGGTGGTCAGCATGGGAAGCAGAGGCCTTGCCGACAGACATGGCCAGCCCCAGCCGCAGCCGAGGAAGCAGAGGCCTTGCCGACAGACATGGCCAGCCCCAGCCACAGCCGAGGAAGCAGAGGCCTTGCCGACAGACATGGCCAGCCCCAGCCGCAGCCGAGGAAGCAGAGGCCTCCCAGCAGTGCCCGTCCGCCCTTCTCACAGCCACGGAGTCGGTCCATCCCCCCCCTCCCCCCCCCCCCCGGCCAGCCAGGCCCTTCCGGTGGCGTATCCTCACCAGCATGCCCGCCCCCGTGCGGCCACACGGCTCCTGGCGCTGGGCTGAGGCCGGGGCACCATCCCAGGTGGATGTCCCTGGGCCCTGGCCTCACTGCCCACCTGTGACTCCATGTCTGCCATGCCCACCACCCAGGGTCTGCACAGCCCTCACGCGCCTTGGTTCACGTCACCCCACCAGGATGACAACATGCGAACAAAACCAACATGGACTCCTTGGGCCCCAGAGCCATTCTCTGCTGTAGGCGAGGTGGGCTTTCCCACTGTCCTCTGCATTAGATTCCTAAGTTTTAGCGGGGTACAGGAGCCCCCAGCTACACTTCCTAGCCACCTACAGATGGACACGCGCCGGTGACCATGTTCTGACCAACAGGATGAGAACACACGTGCCCCAGCGCCTGTCTTCTCTCCTCCCAGCCGGAATGCAGACACGAAAGCGAGAGCTGGGGCAGGCGTCGCAGACCCTGAGGTGCAGGCCAGGTTGGAGGGGGAGTGCACGGCTCCACCGCCGGCACGGTTCTCCCAGGGAAACCTCAGAGAAAGGCCTCACTGCAGGGCGCGCTGCGAGCCAGCGGGACCGAGCCAGGGACGCCCAGCCGGGGAAAGCCCTGCGTCCACGGCCTGCTGAGAGAAATTCAGACACAGGACCCGCCCACAGCCGGGGTGCTGCGGGTGGACGGATGAGTCTGTCAAGTTGGACACAGGTGTCAGTCCCACAGCTGGTCGCCCTGTGGCGCCCACCCCGCAGGCCTCACCAGTGTGGGGACCGTGGCCACAGCTGCTTCCTGAGCTCTGAGGAGGGGGTGTTCTCCGGCACGTGCTGGGTGCACAGCCCCACTGCCACCCCGGCCCGAGCTGCCTCTCCAGGCCCTAGGAAGCACTCCAGGCAGGTGCAGCCTGCCACGGCACGGTCGCAGGGGTGGTGGTGGTCTCATGCCCCATCCTGCCAGTGTGGGGAGCCAGAGAGCACAGCGCTGAGACCCAGACTGGCCAGGAAGTGGGCCTGGGCCCAGGGGAGACCCCCATGAAGGCCAAATGAAAAACTGCGTGCCAACGCCGTGAATCATGGCAAGGCGCCATGAAGGCCACGCCCAGCTCGCCCAGAGGATGGCTTTGTGGTACAGAGTGACAAAAAAAATGGTAAAACTTAAAAGACCAACGGATGAAGGTGAAAATAGAGGCAAGATTTAAGAAAGAAAAACCCTAGAGGACTGATCCAAGAGGCCAGCATTGCAGGTGGGCGAAGGTCATCAAAAGCAGAAGGCACACACACACCCAGCCCGGAGCCCGCTGTGTGTCCCAGCAGCCTCTTGGAGCAGGCAGGAATCTGCCCGCCACCAGGGATTGTGCAGAGCAAAGGCCTGAGCAGAAATGCTCCCTCCCTCACAGTGTTTCATTGGGAGCCATTGTAGGATACATCTTGCCATGAAAAGGGAAGTGGCCAGGAGAGGAGCCCAGGGCTGCTCTCAACAAATGACAAGAACACACAAAAAAGTAAAGCTTCTGAAAGGAGGCAGAGACTGAGAGTTTGCTGAATCAATAGCAAATACTGTTTATCCTACGATACAGTGAAATTCCGGGACCTACTGCTGGGCTGTGGCTTCATCAAGCAGGAGGCCCAGGAGACGGGGCTGGAGAGGCGGTTGGGGAGCTGAGCTCCTGAGGCCCGCGCCTGCTCCCTGGCACTCCACTCTGCCCAGTCAGCTGGACAGCATGGGATGGATGGGAGACAGGAAGCACACACGTGACTCAGGCCCAGGCCTTCCTCCTCTGGGCCTGGGTGCCGCAGCATCCTGGCTCGCCTGCTCCCCAGGCCGTGGCCGGGAGAGGGCGGGGGGGGGGGGTTGGCACAGAGCTAGAGGGACTCTGTTCACACAGTCTGGGGCTAGCTGGGGACACCGAGGTAAGTGGCCCACAGTTGTTGTCCGTGGGCAGCGGGATAACATGAGACCAGGCTGGGACAGCCTGCACAGTCCCCCCAACAAGGGCCGTGCCAAGATGTGGCCTGTTGGGCGCCCCGTGCGCCGACTCTTGGTTCCCCAGCTGTGGGCCTTGGGGCCCGCCTGCCTCATGTTCAACCCTCCTCTTTCCCACAAAGGCCAAGAAGCTGCAGGAGGAAGTGATGAAGCTGAAGCAGGAGTCGACCTTGAACAAAGGGCACTAGCTCTCGACGCTCGTAGAAGCTATTCGCTTCACTCACCAGAACCGCAACTTCAAAGTATCTATTTTGACAGAAAGTAGTATGAAACAGGCCCTTCCAATGGGGGCATCCACATGGGAGCGCGCTGCCCGGCGTGCTGGGGCTGGGCAGCCCCTGGTGTTCACGGCTCCGGCCCTGTTGCGAGGCCGCATTAAACGAGAGTACTATGAACACGCTGTGTCCTGGTCGCTTCCACACCCGGGCTGTCAGCGCCTCCCAACCCTTCCAGCCCCGACCACAGATGAGCTCAGCTCGGAGTTTCATTAACTTCTGCATTGCATGTGGGCAGGGGGAGGGCGCCCGCGGAGCAGGCAACAGCCACGCACCCTGCTCGTGATCCACAAAATTGTCCTCTGCTCTTGTCGACCCTTATGCTTGCACAAGGATGCCAGCCCAGGGCTCGCCAGCCCAGGACCCTGTTTAACCCACCGGCTGCCCACCTCCTCCGCCACTCAGGATTGCGAGGCCCAGGCTCTGACAGCCTGGGTGTGACTGGATTTGAAGCCAGGCTGCCTTCACAGATTCGGGACAGCGCTGGCCATCTTATGCCGGTTTGAGGGGCAACCAGCCTGCTCCTCACACAGCCCAGCCGCCAGATAACTCACCACTCTGGACCCTGGTTCCCCTCAACACACAGTGGATGAGGGCTGCCCTTTCCTGCACATGAGGAGTCCACAGGTGGCAGATTTGGGGTGTCTGGGCGGGTGCGTTTGTGTCATGGGTGTTTCTCTCGGCTTCTACTCTGCCGCCACATCTCCTTCCCACCTTTGCAGTGAGAAACCCTCTGGCTTCGCAAGACCTCCCCTCTCCCGTCCTGCCGCCACGGGCGGGCTGGGCTCCTGGGCTCCCAGGTGACAGGAGGTTTCTGAAATGGCAGCCTCAGCCAGCGGCGGCCGGTCCTGTGAAGTCGAGTGGTCGGTAGACTCAGGCCCTGCAGCTCACACTTGCAATTGTCACTCCTTGGCAGAAACTGGAGGGTGATAGAAGCCAGCCCAGAAATAAAAGCTCTTGACTCCCTCCCATTCAGAGGCTGGGTGCTATGGCTCATGCCGTTTATTCTGTGCCACATGGAAGCCCTGGCAGGAAGCTTCCCAGACTGGACAGGCACAGTGACGTTCTCCTGTGAAAGTAACCCAGTAAAAAGCACTGAGGTGTGACTCAACTGACAGGTGCTGAGTTCAGATTTTAGTCCAGTGCCCTCCCCCCAAAATGGAGTGCTGATTGGTAGAAGTGGTCAAGGGTGAACCTACTTATTTTGCCAATCCTGGGGCTTGAACTCAAGGCTGGGGCGCTGTCCCTGAGCTGCTTTTGCTCAAAGCCAGCGCTCTGCCATTTGGGCCACTTCCAGCTTTTTCTGTGTGTGTGGAGCTGGGGAATCAAACCCAGGGCTTCATGCATGCGAGGTGAGCGCTCTACCGCTGAGCTGCCTTCGCAGCCCTGAACTCACTGACTCAGGCCATCAGCCCCCGAGCCCCTGTCCCCAGCAGAGGGCGTTCAGGGCAGGAGGGCCATGGGCCTAAAGTCACCAGTGGCACAGGACCCACCGCAGCAGCGGCCACTCTGCCAGTGCGGGGCCCACCGTGCAGAGCCGTGTGTCGGCATGACACACATCCAGCAAGGACCCATGTGCTAGCCTTGCCCACGGAGGCTCGGCTTGTGCTCCTGGTTTCTCAGAGTTGGGCCCCCCAAACAAGCACCAAGCACACAGCCGCGTGGGCAGCCCTCTTGGGCATTTAGAACCTAGAGGCTTGCCCCAAGAAGCCCCAGCGTGTGGCTGGAAGTGGACTCCAGGGGACCCAAGTGATGCTCCAGGGTGCGGTGCAGACCTCAAGTAGACGTGGTCCTGGCCAAGCACACCGTGGGAGAAGCAGAGCCAGGCAGACATCCCAGGCCCAGGCCTGCAGTTGTCTGACAGACCAGGGGGCTGCTGTCCCGGGCTCCAGCGGCCCGGCCAGGGCTAGCTGTCTTGCTGTACTCCTCTGTGTGGGCCTAGCATCGCGGGCACAGATGTGAGCTAGGTCTCCCAGGGGTCAGGGCTGATAGCATCAGCCTGCCAAAACCCAGGGGCACAGGCACGTTTCGGGCCGGGACTCACTGTGGGACTCTGAGCCGCTCAAGGCTTGTGGGAGCAGAGCAGCTGCTTCCATCCACGTGGGAGCAAATAGGCGGCACCAGCCCCAAGCAAAGGGCTGCTCGGCCCCACCCCTGCCGGCCCGGCCGCCCTCCCTGGTCTGGCACTGGCCCCTGTGGCGGCCAGCAGCTCCCTGCGGCCGCACCCAGCAAGCGCAGACTCCCTCCCGGTGGAGCAGCCGGCTGTGGGCAGGGGTGAACATGGGGTCCGAGGACAGAGACCTGTGGCTTCCATGGCCATGGAACACCTAGCCCAGTCCAGCAAGGCCTCCCTTCACAGAGAGGCCCCACGCAGCCCTGGGGTTCCCAGAAGCCCGGTGCAGGGCCCCATGTGGAGGAGGGTGGAGGAATTGTTCATACCTTATGGAGGCCACTGAGGCCCAGGGGGGCTAGGCATGTTCTTCCCCCTCCTCCCATTCACCCCTCCCCCCCCCCCCCCCCCCCCCCCCCCGGTCATTCTGGCTCAGAGCCCATGCCCTTAGCCAGTTCTCCACACCACATCCAGGCGGTTCTGTTCCCAGCCAGGTCTGAGCGTTCTCTCCTGGGAAAGCCCTCTCTCTGGATGCCTGCAGGTATTGGCTGCCTCCAGAGCAGACCCCACAGGCTGGCGGGAACAAAGCTGGTCTTACCAGTTCAGAACAGAACAGAAGCTCCCAAGGCTCTGTGGCCTGGGAGAGGTCCAGGTTCTTGGGCCGCAAAGATTCCCTAAAATCCTGCCTCAGAGAGGACAGACCTGTGGCCTCGGGCGGCCTCAGAGCTGGGACTCCCTGCAAGACACACTGTGGGGGGGGGGCCTGCATGCCACGGGCCCCTCCCACTGCACCACTGGGGTGCCTAATGGGGACGGTGTTCGAGCCAGACCTGCAGGAGGCTGCCACTCTAAAAAGACAGAGTGGGCAGGGCACTGGTGGCTCGTGCCTGTCATCCTAGCTACTCAGGAGGCTGACATCTGAGGATCGAGGTTCAAAGCCAGCCCGAGCAGGAAAGTCCATGAGATTCTTATCTCCAATAAACCACTCAGAAAACTGGAAGTGGCGCTGTGGCTCAAGTGATAGAGCGCTCGCCTGGAGCTGAAGAGCTGAGGGACAGCACCCAGGCCAGAGTTCAAGCCCCACAACTGACATAAAAAAAAAAAAAAAAAAGACCAGGGCAGGCATGAAGCTGGTGGCCGGCTGAGAGGGGTGAATCCCAGAGCCCATAACACAGGGAGAGAGAAGGCGGCTAGCCTTCCCTCAGGCCGGAGCCTCTGCTGTACCCCAGCCTGTCCGTCCTGGTCACCAAAACCAGAGCTCCAAACAGCTTGCTGCCCTCAGTCCTCACACTGTCTTCCTTCTTACTTGGGATCTGGCCAGACTGGCACAGGGCAGGCCTTCCCTAGGCTCTGGGGCTGAAGACTTGAGGGACTCAAGTCCCTGAAGGTGAGGTCCACAGGCTGAAGGAGGCCTCACGCACAGCGCTGCTCTCCTGCCCAGGCCAGGCTGTGGGACGCTCATGGCAGCAGCTGTGCACAAGGCCAAATCCTGCCCGGACCTTCTTCCCGAGCAACACGCATCTTGGGGGCTGCTTCTAGAAGAGGCACACAGATATACGGCCCCCATCCCCTGGGCCCCACACAGCTGGCTACTCAAGAAACTCCCACAGCCTGCCAGGAGCAGGGAGGGGCGAGGAGAGCCAAAGGGGAGTGGGCAGGCAGGGCTGCTGAGACCCTGGGAGGCTGTCACTTCTTCACACTGCCAAGCCTTCTCCTGCTAGGCCGCTGGCTGATACTCCTTTTAAATATTCTACCTAGAGAGCAGTCTTTTAAAAATGGTTCCCAGTCCACTTAAAAGACCCAGCACACAGCAGCACTCAGCCACAGCCAGCGGCCAATTCTCCCGCTCTCCACCCGACAGGCGGACAAGACGGCTGTCAGCCTCAGGTGCTCAGGTCTCAGTGTCCCGCGGCTGCTCTACCTGCACTACCCGTTCTGCTCCCTCCGGTAGTTACAAGGAAGCCTTTCCCCACTGGGTCAGGGCGACCCCATCCTCAGACACCAGTCCACGCCACCGAGTGGCTGCCCTTTCCGCAGACCCCTCCACATTGCCAGGTTGTACTGACCCAGCAGCTGGGAGGCCCCCTGCCCTCCAGCACCTTCCCAGACCACCTCGCCCTGCGCCCACAGCCCCCTGCGCCCCAGCACCTTCCCAGACCACCCTGCCCTGCGCCCACAGCCCCCTGCGCCCACAGCCCCCTGCCCTCCAGCACCTTCCCAGACCACCCTGCCCTGCGCCCACAGCCCCCTGCGCCCTCAGCCCCCTGCCCTCCAGCACCTTCCCAGACCACCCCGCCCTGCGCCCACAGCCCCCTGCCCTCCAGCACCTTCCCAGACCACCCTGCCCTGCGCCCACAGCCCCCTGCCCTCCAGCACCTTCCCAGACCACCCTGCCCTGCGCCCACAGCCCCCTGCGCCCACAGCCCCCTGCGCCCTCAGCCCCCTGCCCTCCAGCACCTTCCCAGACCACCCCGCCCTGCGCCCAAAGCCCCCTGCCCTCCAGCACCTTCCCAGACCACCCCGCCCTGCGCCCACAGCCCCCTGCGCATGTGCCTCACAGGCCTGGGGCTAGCCACAGAGAGGGTCCCAGCGCCAAGGCGGCTGGCCTGCCCACCCCTCTCACGGGCAGAGCAGTGGGGCTCCCGCCGGGAGGCCGGCGCCAGAGGCCCTGGGCTCCCCGACCCCACCCAGCCCGGGCTGCTGCGCCCCGGAAGCCAGGAGCGGCCTGGCCGGCCGGGCTCGCAGCGGCGGGGACCCCTGCCACCCCCCTTGGGTCTGGGAGCCGGGCCTTGGGGGCGGCCGGCCAGCGGCGGGGTTCCTCGCCCACGCTGGTGGAGGTCCCGCCCGTCCCCGGGCCGGCTGCGCGCGCCGGGGCCCCGTGGAAGCTTCCGCTCCGGGCCCTGGTGCCGGCCGCCCCGGGCGCGCTGGGGCTGCCCTGCAGCTCCCACGGGGCGCCGGGTCCTCGGGCGGCCCTGCCCTCCCCCCGTGGCCACGGCGACACTAGGCCGCTGCGGGCGCCGCGGTGGCCCTCGGCCCCAGTCCCCTCCGCCCGGGCCCCGGCTTCCCGAGCGCGCCGCCCCGGACTTCCGCCCCGCAGTGCCGGAGCGAGCTGGGGCGCTGCCCGCGTGCCGAGTCGGGCCCACCGGGCGGCGGGGGGCGCGACCGGGACCCGGTAGGGCGGGTGGGGAGGGGCCGGGGCAGGGACGACCCCGCGACCCTCGGGGCGGCGCGAACGAGGCCCGCGGGGCGCGGGGCGCGGGGCGCGGGGCGCGGGGCGCGCGCTGCGGACGGAGCCCCGAGCCCGCGGCGCCCCGGGGCGCACGCGGCGGACGGCGCCGGGAGCGGAGCCCGCGGCCGCGCGCCCCGGCCGGCCGAGCAGCTTTGTGACGTCAGGCGGCGTCACGCGGGGCTGACCCGGCGGCGGCGCGGGCGGGCTCGGGACGCGCGGGAGCATGGAGCCGCGGGCCGGCTGCCGGCTGCCGGTGCGGGTGGAGCAGGTCGTCAACGGCGCGCTGGTGGTCTCCGTGAGCTGCGGCGAGCGCAGCTTCGCCGGGATCCTGCTGGACTGCACGAAAAAGTGAGCGGGCGGGGCGGGGCCGCACCGCCGACTCCGCGGGACGCTGCCCCGCCGCCCGGCGCCGCTTTCGGTTTCTCCGGCCCGGGTGTCGGGGCGCGGGCGGCCGGCCCGGGGGGCGGTGGCGCGCCCCCCGACGTGGCCGCGACTTTGGGGCGGGGAGGACGCGCGGCCGGGCGAGGGGCCGGCGGGCGCCGGGCGGGGCGCGCGGGGCGCCGGGCCTCCCTCGCTCGTCCGCCGCAATTAACGCACTTTTCTTTGTTCAGACGCACTGTTGGTTGGGCTGGCGGCGGATCGCGGCCCTTGGAGGGGTCCGAGCGCCGCGGGCTCCCCCCGTGGCCCCCGGGGGTCCCCGGGCCGCGGCGAGCTGGCCGGGACCAGCTCTGCCCCCAGGGGTCCGAGGGCCCGGGAGCCCCGCAGAGCCCGGGCCGGCGCCCCTCGGGAGGGCGGGTGGGCCCGCGACCTGCCCGCGGACCACCTGTGCCTCCGCCAGAGCCGTCGCGCGGCAGCGAGTGTCACTGCCCCAGACATGACGAGGCGCGCCGGCCTGGCTGCCCTGCCCCTGCCAGGCTTTATTCTGGACCTGGAAACTGACTGCCGTGCCTGCAAGGCCCAACTTTTCCCTCCCTGAAGACCCCCCCACACACACACACACACAAGGGCACAGAGCCAGCGGCCCATCTCCCTTGACAGTTACCCCGCCACTCCACATCATTAGATGTGCCAGGAGCCATTTATGAACAAGTCATGTGACTTAACATATGGCCTCCAGGGTGACTGTTGCCCTGCCCTGCTCAGCGTGGCCACCCTGGAGTGCAGACTCCAGCCCTGCCCAGCGCCGCCCTGCGAGTGCGGGATAGCTACCTGGGGAGCGCTGGAGGGTCCCTGCGCCCCGGGCGGGCCGGTTTTCCCTCCGGACTGGGCCGGCCCCGGGCCTGCAGGACTGCACCCGCTCTGCCCGTGCTGGTGGGTGGTTCTGGTCTCCTCCTCGGAGAGGGACTGCAGCAGAGGCACCAGCTCAGGGCAGGGTGCTGTGCAGTGTCCTTGGGCTCGCTCCCGGAGGCCCTGGGCTGGTCTGTTGTGCAGATTCTGTGGGAAGATGCCGTCTGTCAGTACCTCAGGCCTGGGAACGGCAGCTGAGGGGCGCGTGGGTGCCAGCCAGCGCTGGTGAGGAAGCGTTCAGCTGTAACCAGAGCCACCCCCGGGCCAGGGCTGAGCCCCGGTGGGCACAGCGCTGCCTTGCTGTAGCTCTGTGTGGCTGAGGAGACACAAGGTTTACTCTGAAGACAAACCTAGCCAGGTTTGCCCAAGGCTTGGCCTGAAGCAGCGCGAGCTTCTGCCCACCTTGGGCTTGTCTCCCTGGTTTCTGTTTCCAGTTCTCTACCCACGGTGTTGTGATTTGCAGAGCTAATGTTTCCAGCCTCTTGGCAGGCAGGGGGGCAGTGGGGTCAGGTGATAGGGTCCTGCCCCGTCCTCCCCGGGTGCCTTTGTCTCCACACAGGGGCCCAGTTATCCTGTGTGGGCTCTGAGTGGCAGGGAAGCGTCCTTGGGGACGCCTTTCGGTCTCAGAGCAACTGGCTGGCAAGCTGGCCAGTGGTCGACATGGCTGGGGGCCGACAGTATTCATAGGGCCCCGCAGCACCCAGATTAACGCAGACCTGACCACACGGTTGTCTGTGTAGCACTGCAGCTCCCCTGCCGGGCTTGGCGCAGCTCACACAGGCTCCTGAGCCGAGGGGCTGAGGCCTGGCCCATTTTGGAAGATGGTGTCTTTCTCCCTTGCCTCTCACCCCTGTCTGCAGACGGGGGCTGGGCGCAGGTCTTGCAGTGCGGCCTGGCGCAGTGCCGCACACCTCTTCCTTCTGTCTGCAGCCTGCTGCCAGACTGCTGTATGGGTGGAAGCAAGCTCTCTGCTGCCGAGTGCCTGCCTGTCCACTCATTCACGTGTGTTCACTAAGCAACTACCGTGTGCTGGGAGTGGCCCAAGGCGAGCTGCTTCTAACAAGTGCCGGCAAATTCAGGCTCCTTCCAAAGCTTTGCTGAGCCACACCATGCACAAAGGAGTGGTGAATGGGAATTGTCTAGTTGACACCAAGTATTGTGGCTCTGGCTGAGAAGTGATCTGAAACCAGTGAGGGTGACCTCTGACCCCAGGGCTTCCAGCCTTGACCTCTAAGCCAGTGTATCTCACACTTGCCCGTTTACGAGTCACCATGGAGGCTGTACTGAGAGTGGGTAATCTGGAGGGAGGGTGAGCTATAAGGGGACAAGACATCCCAAGTACCTCCCAAGTAGCTGGAGGTGCCCAGGCACTGCAGGCTAGAATACAGGGGCCCTGACTAGCAGGCTGGTCTTGGGGACTCCCCCAGGGCAACATCAGTTGTGAATGGGGCAGAGGGTATGGGACTGACCTGGCTGGAGCTAACAGACCTTGAGCTCAGCATGCTGAGACCCAGCCGTCTGTCCCCCCCGTCACCCCCCCCCCCCCCGCCCTGCCTGCGTTTGCTCCCAGGAGGCCTCTGTGCACTCAGCTTGAGTCCCACACCATTTCCTACAGCTGATTGGTTGTGGGGCCACAGAGACTGCAGGTGCCTTCTAAACCAGTCCTGGTGACCAGCTTCAGGGGGCCCTGGGGGCTGTCGCTGCTAGCACCTAGGCTCAGGGAGAGGTTTTCCAGAGGCCCCGCCCAGCTGGGCACATCCGCATGTTTGTGACTCAGCCCCTCACAGACAGCAGCAGGGACAGCAGCAGGATGGCTGGGAAGGAAGGTCAGGGGCAGCTGGGGGAGACCGGGGGGAGGGGACCCCACATCCACAGGGTTTTGGTCGGCCTGCCGTCAGGAATGCAGGCAGCTGTAGACAGGGGCAGCCTAGAGTGCTGGCCGGTGGCCAGGACTGCTCTTCCTGTCCATGGCCAGCCTTGGCCTATCTGCCCTGGGAGGGTGGCTGAGACAGACCACCAGGTAAGTCACCAGAGATGTGGCGTGGCCAACCGGTGTCCTGCTGAGCCTTGGGCCAGGCCACGTGTCCGTGGGCTGTGAGGTCCTTGCTGGGCACTGTAGGGGAGAGAACCTTGGAGTCCCTGGGACCCCTCAGGGGGGTGCTATTTCTTTTGGATCTGGCCTCCATTTTAGAGCCTCCTGAGCTGCTCATCCCTGCCTCAGTCATCCCTGCCTCAGTCATCCCTGCCTCAGTCATCCCCTCAGTCATCCCTGCCTCAGTCATCCCTGCCTCAGTCATCCCCGCCTCAGTCATCCCCTCAGTCATCCCTGCCTCAGTCATCCCTGCCTCAGTCATCCCTGCCTCAGTCATCCCTGCCTCAATCATCCCCTCAGTCATCCCTGCCTCAGTCATCCCTGCCTCAGTCATCCCTGCCTCAGTCATCCCTCAGTCATCCCTGCCTCAGTCATCCCTGCCTCAGTCATCCCCTCAGTCATCCCTCAGTCATCCCTGCCTCAGTCATCCCCTCAGTCATCCCCGCCTCAGTCATCCCCTCAGTCATCCCCTCAGTCATCCCTGCCTCAGTCATCCCTGCCTCAGTCATCCCCTCAGTCATCCCTGCCTCAGTCATCCCTGCCTCAGTCATCCCTGCCTCAGTCATCCCCTCAGTCATCCCTGCCTCAGTCATCCCTGCCTCAGTCATCCCTGCCTCAGTCATCCCCTCAGTCATCCCTGCCTCAGTCATCCCCTCAGTCATCCCTGCCTCAGTCATCCCCTCAATCATCCCCGCCTCAGTCATCCCCTCAGTCATCCCTGCCTCAGTCATCCCTGCCTCAGTCATCCCCTCAGTCATCCCTGCCTCAGTCATCCCCTCAGTCATCCCTGCCTCAGTCATCCCCGCCTCAGTCATCCCCTCAGTCATCCCTGCCTCAGTCATCCCTGCCTCAGTCATCCCCTCAGTCATCCCTGCCTCAGTCATCCCTGCCTCAGTCATCCCTGCCTCAGTCATCCCCTCAGTCATCCCCTCAGTCATCCCTGCCTCAGTCATCCCCTCAGTCATCCCCTCAGTCATCCCTGCCTCAGTCATCCCTTCCTCAGTCATCCCCTCAGTCATCCCAGCCTCAGTCATCCCTGCCTCAGTCATCCCTGCCTCAGTCATCCCCTCAGTCATCCCAGCCTCAGTCATCCCAGCCTCAGTCATCCCTGCCTCAGTCATCCCCTCAGTCATCCCTCCTCAGTCATCCCTGCCTCAGTCATCCCTGCCTCAGTCATCCCCTCAGTCATCCCTGCCTCAATCATCCCCTCAGTCATCCCAGCCTCAGTCATCCCTGCCTCAGTCATCCCTGCCTCAGTCATCCCTCCTCAGTCATCCCTGCCTCAGTCATCCCTGCCTCAGTCATCCCTGCCTCAGTCATCCCCTCAGTCATCCCAGCCTCAGTCATCTCTGCCTCAGTCATCCCTGCCTCAGTCATCCCTCCTCAGTCATCCCTGCCTCAGTCATCCCTGCCTCAGTCATCCCCTCAGTCATCCCTGCCTCAATCATCCCCTCAGTCATCCCAGCCTCAGTCATCCCTGCCTCAGTCATCCCTGCCTCAGTCATCCCTCCTCAGTCATCCCTGCCTCAGTCATCCCTGCCTCAGTCATCCCTGCCTCAGTCATCCCTGCTCTAGTTTTCCTCAAAGCAGTTTCTCTAGCCAGCCCTCAACTTCCCCAGGATGCTCTATTGAGGGTTGTTTTGTGACAGTGTTGGAGGACCAGGCTGGGCTTCCACCGTGAGGAGTCCACCCAGCCCTGGAAGCCCTGTCCTCAGGTCTCCCACAGGGCCGTCCCGTCCCATGCGGCAGACCCCTCTCAGCCCAGAAAGGCGGGCTGGCTTGGGCTCTAGGGCTACCCATAGTGTCACCTGTGAGCACTGCCAGGCCAGGGCCGTAGGTCCTAGGGCTAGCTGACAGGCCACAGCTCAGCTTCACCAGGTGCTGGGCCTGCCAGGAGACAGATGCAGGCCATGGTGCTCTGGATAGACCCAGGTCCAGCAGTGGGCTGGGGGGTCTTCCCAGAGAGAACAGCCTGGCTGGGACTGTGTCTGCACCTTTGGTGTTTTTCACTCCCTGTCTGTGAAGTGAGAATGTTAGTCATGAGAATCCTGGGGGACTCCTGAAAGTTGAGGGGCCCAGCAGTGCCACCTGCTTCCTGCTGGCCAGGCCCAGTCCTGCCCCCTCCCTGCCCCTGCCTGGGCTGAGCCGCTCTGCTCCTGATCCACCGTGTTGGTCTTGGGCGTGGCCCGGGAGCTCCAGGAGGGCAGAATGGCCGCTGCTGCCAGGCTGCGACGGGGAAGGGGCCGGCCGCCTGGGTGGCTTCCCAATTGCCCAGCCTGGGAAAGGACAGGCCTGGTGGGATGGGGCGCCGGCCCACATCGAGGCTCGGGGCTCTACCCAGGGGAGGGCTGCGGTCCATCCGGAACACGCCGAGCCCACCTGAGGGCCATGCCAGGAATGGGCACCAGCCTGCTGTGCCTGTGTGGGGAAGGTGGCGGAGCCCCAGGCAGGCATGGGCGGGATCCACACGGAAGACAGAGCTGCAGGCCCAGAGGCAGGTGGGGGCTAGGAAGGATGACTGGCTGAAAGGCGCGTGGGGCTGGGGTGGCGGGAGGGAGGGAAGCAGGAGGTGGAAGGCTGCAGTGTGGACAGGCACCAGGGCTTGAGGAGTCCTTACTCACAGGCCTGGGGGCTGTGAGCACTGGGCGACCCACCCCTGACCAGGCCCCTCATCTTCCCTCTCCCAGGCCAGCCACCTGCCTCTTCCTCTCTGTTGTCTGGTTATCTTCACCCCAGCCCTCAGCCCTGTGAGGGGCTGACTAGTGGGGCGCAGTGGACGGCCAGCCTCTGGGGTGGCTTCCTGGACCCAAGGCCTTCCCCGGGGGCTTTTGGAACCTTCCTTGCAGGGCTTGGTTCTGGTGTCACTCTAGCAGGGACCCCACTGCTCCCCAGATTGGGGCTTCCCAGCTTCCTCTTTCCCCGGCAACATCCCCATCCTTGAAGCCCCCTGGTGGGCCCCAGCGTCTCTTGGAGGGGAGGAGACAGGTAAGACCTGTGATCAGAGCTGCGCTTTGAGGCTTCTGGCCATACACCAACAGGATCCCCTCCCCGGCCTGGCCAGGCCTCATCTCTGAACACAGATACTGTGCTCAGGCTTCCCGGCAGCCCTCCAGCCCTGGGCCCTTCTTCCTCTTGGGGCCACAGGCCAAGACGCAGACACTCCCCTACCTCAGCCCACAGATCATGGGACAAAACGGCACAAGTCTGCCTGGACACCCAACATGGGCCATGCGCAGGTCCCCACCCTTGCTCCCAGCCAGCAGACGCCCTAGATGGGGCCTGCAGCCTCGGGGCCACACCAGGACCCGGAGGCCGCCACCCTCTCCCTCATTGCCGACTCTCCCTTGCCAGGTCCGGCCTCTTTGGACTGCCCCCGCTGGCACCGCTGCCCCTGGCTGACGAACCGCCCGCCATCGGCTGCCACGGCCCGGTCCCCGAGGAGGGGGGAAGAAGAGTGGCCGAGGAGGGGAGCGGCTCCCCACCTCCTCCCTGCAAGGGCCAGTCCCCCAAGGAGACCCGGCCGCTCAAGGCCGCTGGCCCCACACCGCCCCCGCCGCCGCCGGTGCCGCCGCTGCCCGCCACGAGCCTGCCCCCCTTCCCGCCCTACTTTGAAGGCGCCCCCTTTCCACACCCGCTGTGGCTGAGGAATACCTACCAGCAGTGGGTGCCGCAGCCACCACCCAGGGCCGTGAAGCGGACTCGAAGGCGTCTGTCCCGGAACCGAGACCCCGGCCGGCTCATCCTGAGCAGTATCCGTCTGCGGCCGCGCCAAGTGCTCTGTGAAAAGTGCAAAAGCACCGTGAGCCCCGCGGAGGTCGGCCCCAGCCCCCCCACCACTCCCAAGGGCCGCCGGAGGCTGGGCAGCGGCCCAGACAGAGAGCCCCGCAAGCCTGAGGAGCAGGAGGACCTCACCGCGGGGGCCACCCCCAGGAGGAGCAAGAGGGAGAGGCGGGAGGAGGACCGGGCCCCCCGGGAGCGGGTCCCCCGGAGCCCAGTCATCAAGATCTCCTACAGCACGCCCCAGGGCAAGGGCGAAGTGGTCAAGATCCCCTCCCGAGTGCACGGCTCCCTGGAGCCCTTCTGCCCCCAGCAGGCCCTGCACAACGGCAGCCTGGCCCCCGAGGGGCTGCGGGACTCTGAGCCCAGGGGCAGCGGGGACTGGGTGCCCCGTGGATCCTCGGCCTCCATCCCCAAGCTGAAGCTGACACGGCCCGGGCCCCCCGGCCCGGACCTGCCTCCGCCCAAGATCCGCCTGAAGCCTCGTCGGTCGGGCGATGGGGAGCAGGAGCCCCTGTACCGCGCCGAGCTGGTGGAGGAGCTGAACGGAGGCCCGCGGGGGCCCCACGCCTGCTCACCCACTCTCTTTCCAGATGGCTCTGGCCACAGGCTGGAGGACATGTCTTCTGGAAGTTCCGGTGAGGAGGAGGATGTCCACAGGCGTCCCCAAGGGAAGCAGGAACGTGAGGCCCTGGCTTTTCCATGCCCCGAGAGGAGAACAGGTGGCTCCCGGGAGCCGGCGCACGGCCGCGCCGGCCCGGAAGAATCTACGTCACCCGGCTCTGAAGTAACCTCTCTGGACACCGGCGACCCCTCCTCCCGGGACCCTGCCTCTGCCACCTCCCCGACCCGAGACGCGCGGCCTACTGTGCCCCCGCTCACGGTCAAGCTGCACACGCAGAGCGTCTCTAAGTGCGTTACCGAAGACGGAAGGACGGTGGCCGTAGGGGACGTCGTGTGGGGTAAGATTCATGGTTTTCCTTGGTGGCCAGCGCGTGTCCTTGACATCAGCCTTGGCCAGAAGGAGGATGGAGAGCCCTCTTGGCAAGAAGCAAAAGTCTCATGGTTTGGGTCTCCAACTACATCCTTCTTGTCTATTTCAAAACTCTCCCCTTTCTCTGAATTTTTCAAACTGAGATTTAACCGTAAGAAGAAGGGGATGTATCGGAAAGCCATAACAGAGGCTGCAAACGCCACTCAGCACGTGGCCCCAGAGATAAGGGAGCTCTTGACCCAGTTTGAAACGTAACTTTGGTTCTGCGACCAGGTGAGTGAGTCCCCTGGGGAGCTTCCTGAGCTGGCGCCTGTGTGGTGCCCGACGCACCCCTGCTAGTACACACGGGCTGCGGCCCCTGGCTGCCACAGGGCGGGCGTCCTGAGCTTGCTTGTCTTTGCCAGTCTTGTCACCTGAGCGCCCTGATTTATAGACGAGGCCAATTATCAGCTGTGTGTTCAAAGCCAGTCTGAGGTTTAGAGCATTTCTCAAAGCCCCGTGGGAGAGTTCCTTTCGCGCAGTTTGAGGAAGGGCTCCAGGGCAAGGCTTTGTCTTCTGTCCCTTGCTCCCCGGCAGCCTCCTTCCCTTTCAGAATGCTGGGCCGCGCCTCGTGGCTCTCCTGCTCCAGGTGTGCCACGATGCCCTGCACTGGCCGCAAGGGGGGGGGGGGTGAGCAGTGTTGGCTGCGCCTCCACCCCTTGCCGGCTGAGGACCTGTCCCATCCTCTGGGCCCAGCGTCCTGGGACCCCCGTCTCCCCCTGCCCCAGGAGAGCTCTGGAGAGCCACAGGCAGCCCTCTGAGGACCCTGTGGAGCTGGGGTGTCCCCTCATGACGGATGATGAGGTGTGACCGTGGGCTCTGAACCCGTGTCATCTTGTACAGGCGGGAGCCAGCCTGTGGGGTGGGGGGCATGGCCTGGGGCGCTGGGCCACCCCTGCGGAATGTCCGGAGGTGAGGGCCTCGAGCTGTCGGCCTGTGGCAGACGGCCAGGAGGGTCACCCATAGGGTTGTGAGAATTGCCCCATGGGGCTGCAGAACTGCAGGGAGCTGCAGCTGCTCCAGACCTCCTGCTGGCCCCGTCCAGCTCGGGGCACAAGGTGTGTCCTGCAGGGTCACCTGCTTTGTCGTCTCTGTTGGGAAGACTTGCTTTCTCGGGCCTGGGAGCCTGAGGCCCTGTGACTTCTTCCCCAGATTTTCAATCTGATGCTTCCCATGGGCACAGAGATGGGCAACCTGGAACATTCTAGGCCAGGGTAGCACATCAGCCCCACTTGGGCCTCCACTTGGTCTTGGTAACGGTTACACACCTGTGGGCCAGGCTGCCCGCTCGGGGGACCACTCTGGAGCCTCGGCCAGGAAGGGGACATGTGCTTGGGGGAGGGGCCTGGGGCTCCCTGGTCAGTCTCCTCACTGTTCCACCAAGAGGGTCCAGGAGGGCAGCTGTGCTGTCAGGGGCCTAAGGCTGCCTGTGCTGTGCTCAACCCCCCCCTGTGCCCCCCCATTCTTCCCCCCTCCCCCCCCCCGTGCTTGCCGGGTGCATCTCTCCCCTCATTCCAGGCCAGGGCCGGGTCTGTACCCTGGCTGGGGGTGGGGGGCAGCCTTTGCTGGTCTCGGCTGGGACACTCTGTGGGGAAGGGCAGCAGGCTTGCGGAGGAGTGAAGGGGAAGGTCAGGTCACTCGCTACGGGGGCCTGGGTTGGTGTGGCCCTGGGGTGTCTGCTTGCCCCTGGGCCCTCCCTTCCCCTGCCAAGCCCTGATGAGGGAGGCGGGGCCGGGCAGGCCAGCTGGAGGGAGGGGAGGCTGTGGGCCCTCCCCCATGGTGGACATCAGCTCAGTCCTCACAACACCACCTTCAGTTCTGGTCCGGTGGCCATGGGGGCTCAGTTCAGGACCGGACACAGTACAGGTCCACTCAGTCAGAGGCCCAGCGTGGCCTTGGCTGCACCTGGGAGCCGGCAGGCCTTGCGGGTTCAGGGCTGGCCCTGTTTATCCGGAAGCAGAGGAAAAATCTCACCCAACTGGTTTGTCTGGCCATCTAAACAGGCTCCTTGTCCTGGGGCCTTGCCTGGACCAGCCTGTGCCCGGCAGCCGTGGTGCTCAGGGTTCTGGGGAACTGGACCCCTCCAACCTTGAGTGCAGAATGGTGTTTGTCCTATATCTTCTTTTTGTAAGAATTAAAGGCAGAGCAAAGCCCTCAGTCAGGCATTTTGTGCTCAGCTATGACCAGAGGCGGCCCCGCAGCCTGGAGTCCCGCAGGTGTGGTCCAGCAGCTCCTGGTGTGGTCCGACTTTGCTCTGCCTTGCCAGCAGTGCTGCTGGGCTCAGCCCCAACAACACCTTCTCTCCGCGGGGAGCCCACTGGAGGCCTGGTGAGGTGCTGGTGGCCATCTGTCCTCTGGACCCGGACACTCAGAGGAAGGAGGAGTCTGGGGGCTGGGCTCACCGGCTGGGGCTGCAGTGCCTCCAGAGGTCCTGCTGCCCCCTGAGTGTCAGGAAGAGCTCCCTCCCAAGATGTACTGTCCCAGAGATGTCCTTTGCTCGCTGTGACAGGTGGCCAGAGGCGTTGTTGGGGGGGCAGGGCTGGCCTAGGCAGATGGACAGGCATCCAGCCCCGCTGGGCATGGGGATGGGCCCCAGGACAGCACCACCTGTGTGACGCACCTGTGTGACTTGGGCTCCCCTCTGAGTCCTGATGTGGGTGGAAGGCCAGGCCACCCCCAGGTTTTCTCACTGTCCTGGGGTGACAGCAGTGCTTGCCTTGCTGGTGAGCCAGCGAAACGTCCTCAGCTTGGGTCACACCCAGGGCTTGGGAACGGCCTTTCTCCAGCCCCTCACAGGGCTGTGCCCGAGGGCTGCGGTGCGCTCTCAGAGCTGGCGGGGTGGGGCTGGGGCCAGGGACCTGGGCCATGGGTGGTGCCAGCTTCTGGAACTGTGTCCCAGTGACACTCCGACCTCGGGGTGGCTTCAGGCAGCTCTCCAGGGAGGTGTCTGAGGCTGGCTGGAGAGATCTCTCGGGGGACCGTGTCCTGGGCAGGCATGCTGCTCCCACCCAGCTGCAGCCCTTGAGCTCCTGGGAGCCCGGGGCCTGGCCAGGCCCTCCAGCTTAGCCATGCCAAGAGGGGCCGTCCTGAGCCACTGGCCCTGAGGCCACGGGCCTTTCTGTCCGGCCCCTCATCCTGTCTTCCTGCTCTGCCTTATCTAACCCCCACCCATCTGCAAGAGCCAAACTCTTCACCAGTAGTAGAGGTGGCAAAGTTGGGCAGAAAGATTGTGGGCCCCAAACAGAGAGACAGGAGACGTCTGTGAGTCACAGTCTGCAGGTCAGTGATAATCACCTGGGCCTGGCCAGGAAGGAAGGGACTGGAAGCAGGGCATCAGCGGGCATTCCGAGCTGGGCTGGGATCCGGGAGGGCTTCCTGCCGGAGGTGACATGCTGAGATCATGAACGAATGGAGGGGGGCAGAAGAGCATGTGGCATGTCCTAGGTGGGCTCAGCCTATACCCGTGTTGGACCTAGACTCTGGCCTCACCCCAGGGGCCAGGAGGAGCCTGGAGGGCAGTGAGCAGGTCCCACGGGTGCCCAGTCCACCAGCTTCAAGGACAGGACACGGGAGGACTGGGGTCGGGCTGGAGGCATCTCAGTCAGAGAGGTCAGACCTCAGGAGCCAGGGGCTGGGGCTGGAGTGGGCGATCTGGAAGAGGGGGGAGGGAGAGAGGAAGGGGAACCCCGGAACATTGGCTAGGGGAGCAGCCCTCAGAGCCACAGAGACAGGGAGGTGACAGGAAGAGGACAGGAGTTGGGGCAGGAGGGGCTCTGCTGGAGCGTGGCTGGTGCAGCCACCTGTTCCCAGAGGAGGCTTCAGGACCAGCACAGGCGAAATGGGGCCTTGCCTGCTCCACCGGAGAGAGGGAGGCCCGGCGGTGCCAGCCAGGCCGGGGCTGAGGGCTCAGCCTGAGGACTGGCTAGAGAGGCATGTGCACCTGCCCAAGTGTCCTGGGGGCCCAGACTCCTCTTGGGGTCTGAAGACTGGTCGGTGACCAGTGCGGAGAGTGACCAGTGCAGAGGCGGCGGCCATTGTGCCGTGCTGGCTGCCCCGCCTCCCAGGGAGCGGGGTCACGCTGCGTTACGAGCTGGCGCTGTCTCGGCACTTGCGCATGCCTGTCCTGCAGCAGCGGGGGCTGTGCGCCACCTCACTGAGCCACAGAGCCACTGGCTCCAGGGGGAGCAGCCCTGTCTCCTGCAGGAGTTCCTGCGGCCCGACTGTGGGCTTCAGTATTCCGCTGCAGGTCTCCGAAGTCCAAGTCTGGACTCGGGCGCAGGCCCGGCTGGCCTCCCCAACACAGGAACTTCTGCCCCTCCAGCTCCTGCTGGCTTTACGCGCTGCTGCCTTGTGGCCGTTCCCTGGGATGCCACCTCTGTGGCCTTGGTCTTGTGGCTTCTTCTCTTCAGTTCAGAACCTGCCTCTGTCTAAGCCCCGTGGCAGTTAGGGCTCGCCTGCATACTTAGTGTGATTTAACTACCTGTGCCTGAAGGTCCCACAGATGGTGGCTTTCCACTGCAGGATGAGGACCTGTTTCTGTGGGCCTGCACCCCCTCTCCTGTGTACCCAGTCAGGGCTCCTCACGTGCTCTCCCTGGATGTCTGTGCCACTCCTGAGTGACAGGGTATAGCCCTAGGGCCAGGCTGACCCAGGGCCCACAGGGCACCTGCAGACCAGGCAAACTTCTGCCCAGGCTGACCCAGGGCCCACAGGGCACCTGCAGACCAGGCAAACTTCTGCCCAGGCTGACCCAGGGCCCACAGGGCACCTGCAGACCAGGCAAACTTCTGCCCAGGCTGACCCAGGGCCCACAGGGCACCTGCAGACCAGGCAAACTTCTGCCCAGGCTGACCCAGGGCCCACAGGGCACCTGCAGACCAGGCAAACTTCTGCCCAGGGGCTGACACGAGTCCAGTTCTGCAGGATGGGATGCCAGGGGTGATGGAGGAGCCCCTATTCCAGAAGGATCCGTATTGGCCGGGAGGGAATTGGTCAGCTCAGCGTGGGAGCCAGCTCTGGGCAGCCGTGGCTCCTTGCACCTTCTGGCTCATCCTTCTGAGTTCTCCTGGGAGGACTGACCCTCATCAGGACCCAGCGCGGGTGTGCTCCGCCTGCCAGGGTGTGCTCAGTGCTGCCGGAGGACCCCTGGGTGGACACCACCCTGCCCTCTCCAACCTCTGAGCTGAATGGTTCAAACAAGCTCTGATTTCCTCCAGCTCTGAATAAAACTGCAT